GTCTGTTTGTTTTTTAAACATACATTTACATACATAGAAATTTCACAGGGTTATGAATGTTTAGTGTCTGCATAATCCATCCATCAATTTACAGAAAAAATACTACTAAATAAACCCGTATCACTCTTATTTGTATTGTGTTATTTTAACTCTGGGCTACACAAACACCAATATGTTGTAATTACCTTTTAGTTTTAAACTGTTATTGTTTTGAATGTGTATTGCACATCAGCACTGACATATGGATATGATAGGTTCCTTATTTAATGAATTTTGCATACACTTATTTGTCATGAGAGCTTAAATTAGATAAACAAGGCCCTTGTTTGAATGGTGGAGAAAATAATGATCAGGTGTCACATGGACATGTTTAGCATTATCACAGGTGGACTTTGGGATTTTTAACCATTATCTAATCTACCTTTATCAAAAGAAGCCATGTCTCTCACAGAATAATTACAGTTCTTGTCAACACAGTGTTAATGTGAGTGGTGAGTAAATAAGTTATCCTTAGCAGCACAAAAAAAAAAAAAAAAAGACTGGTGTGGGCAGGGCTACAGCTACAGTACATCTTGTCTTTCTAGAAGGAACCAGTTTGTCTTCTGTTCGACAGTCTTTGTCCGGTGCCATTCTACAAAGTGTGGCTAAGTGACTAGGCTCTAAGGTTAAAAGGATTTTTCCCCACTGACCCCTCTGTACATCCATGCTGGATAGGATTAAAGAAAAATCCACCAACAGAAAATCCCTGTCTAGGATCTTTCAACACGAATAACTCTTTACAAGAAAGAAACCACAAAACAAATCCTCTCTCATCTTTCTACTCATGTCCTGGTTACATAAATCTGCAAGTGTTGATTGAGTCCCATTAACAATTATTTTTGCTCTGCAAAGGGAGGAAGGAAATAAACAAAATGAGTGCACCAACTAAAGCTTGATTCTGCTTAACTATCAAAGATGAAACCCAATATATCAACAGGAGTCACTGCTCTTTTTCTGGCTGGCAGAGAAACTTAAATGCTGGCCAACAACAGCAGAGGAATGTGAATTGTTTTAGGGTGGATTTTGCCCCCAAGCATGCTTGAAATTCATCTGAAAGCATGGAGAGACTCCAGATGTCACAGAAAACTTGTTGATATTGAAGGTTTTTCCACAGACCAAGCAATTGAAGGAAATTCACTTAAAGCCTCAATGTGGTGGTACTCAGTTTAGCAGGCCGTTTCCCCCCTGCACATTTGAGAGCACCCTTTCAGTGGCCTCTTCCTTGTCAGGCTTCATAAACTTAAGGCTGCTCTTCCCAGACCTCATTACTGTTTGTAAACCTTATTGCCACTGTAAGTCTGTGAATATCCTTTGTTTAATCATTGGCATGATCAAGCATCTTTACAAAAAAAAAAAGGACAAAGGCGTTGTCTTGTTGTCACTAGAGTACATTTTGTCCAGAATCTCAGGTTTTTCATATGGAGTTCATTATTGTGACATGTGGACAACCTTTTTATTTAATTTGAGATTAGGCCGTACCTGCTTTGTTGACATTTTTTGCAGCAATAGCAGGTGCAAAACATGTCAAAGTCAACCATTAGAGGGGAAGACAAAGCCACACCAAAGCTAAAAACAGACTAGATTACATGTTTGCATTATTTAATAAATTACATAACAGGCTACAGTGCACACTTAATATTCAATATAGCAATGTCAGCCAAAACAAATAGTGTAAAGTAGTTTTTCAGTTTGATAACTGACAATCATTGAGGTTTTTTCCTTCAGAATAGACCCAGCACGATGAAAATCTAATGATGTTTCTAAAAGTCTCCAGAAGATCTAGATTACTTTTAGGACACCTTTCACTTGAAAAAGCAAAAATGGGTCCAAATTAAAATAGCAACCTTTTTAAATGAATTACAATGTTTGATAGATACAAAAGACTGTGGGACATAATACATTTTGTCCTTTTCATAGTGAAGTTTTTCAGCTTGCTTTGGAGATCAAAAATTCAACTGCTACAAGTCAAATACAAGTCGTGGCTGACTACTCTTAATTTTCGTATATACAGAATTGATTGGGGCCTGCTAAATATCAGTGAGAAAACCAAATTTGCTTAGCTACAATGCTAATTATACTTTCCAAGATGTGGTTAGGGTGGGAGGAACCACATTTAAGGTAAACAAAACAGCATGCTGCTAATTGCTTAAGACTGTATTAGTGTCAGTGCTTACAGTGCTCATAATTGTAACAACTTACCAGCTAAATGGTCAGTTACCAGATAATCCGTCCTGTAAAGATGCAAGTTCCCGTCAGCCTGCCAGCTTTTGCCTGTAGACCACAAAGAAAAAAAGGATCAGTTGTATCAAAAAAACAACTATGGTATCTCAGTTCCAAAGAGTAATACATCAGGGACCTCACTTGAAAAACATGGCACAGATTGGCTACTACAGGGTTATGTGTGCACAAAACAGAAAACCATATTGGCAAAACTATCTGTGCCATCCATTTGAAATTCTGCTAATGCATAAGAGCTGTGTATCATGTCACATTAACTCAAACTACTAAAAAAAAAATCACCATAGTGGATCTCTTTATAAAAAGTTACTAAACAGACATTGAATGGAAAATGGAGACATTAGACAGCAAATACAACGTCAAACTTCATTCTGTTAAACAGAAGCAGCTGTTGCTGACGCCTACTTGTATATTTTTTGATAGTCATGGTTCTGGTGAGACCAGTTGGAACAATAATGACATAGTGCCAAAACACTGCCACCTCAGACAACTGAAACCAACCAGAAATTAACAAGTATTCAGATAATGCTGGTGCCAAGAAGCACATTACTGAACTCTAGTAAAGTATAGGTGCCATTGGAGCTCACTCTCCTTGACAAACATCTGGCTTCTATAATTGGACACTGCCTCGTCAGACAGGAGGACAAACCTGGCAATTGATGAAGCTGCTGTGGGTGAAGCAGGTATAAAGGCCATTGCTCTCTTAAGCACAACCCGGCAAAATTACACAGTGAATGTTTCTTATTGAAGGGTGTGATTGTTGAAGGCTGTATGATTTAACATGGCATGAAACTTTGTGTGAGAGTCATTAGAACATTTGGATTTATTTTACTGGTTTGCCACTGGTGTTACCAATTTCCTCTCACCCCAGAATGTTCACAGGCTTTGGTTTAAGTTGGCAATAAGGTGTGCACAGGCTCCCATTAATCTTGTTGTTATGAATCTCCAATTTTTATTTGTTAAAAAGGGGGCGTATAATCAGGTTCCATTATTGTGTGTATACTCACCATTTATAAATTAGACACTAAATAAGATGCAAGCAATAAGCCTTTACCTTTAGTATTTGGTATAATATTATTTAGGACAGACAGTGTATGTTCCCTTTAACATTATTAAAGCAACTAATAACAGATTGCCCATTTCCACACCAGCAGTCAGTTAATTAATAGAGACAGTAACTCCATGGCTTAAAATGAAACATGTTAATTACAACACAGGGATGTCCATCCGTTTTGCTCAAACCATCATGGCCTAGGTACAGTTGTGCGTTTAAACTGATGACTAATCATTGTGATATTTGTCACAGAAATGCCCAACCACACAAAGCGGGGAAGCTACGTAACTTAACGAAATGTAACGTCATATAGTCAAACCTACGAGATCAGTCATGTTAATTACTGCCAACAAGTCGACGCCGACGAGCTCGTCTAGCTTAGTGAAACTTGCACTATCGTTAGCTGCAGCATGACATCCTTCCAGCCCATATACCGTTATACCCAAATCCCAGATTAAGGATTTAAGTAGCTGGTTAGTGGGAGTGCTAGCTAACACGATATCAAGTTAACTAACGTTAGCTGACAGTTGCCAACGACACAGTACAGTTAATGCTAGCTACCGTCATGTTGGCTAACATGGGTCAACCATAAAAAATAAAAAAAATGTACTGAGATCGAGACAAATTAACACGATCTTAACAGCCAGGGACACCAAGATAACGCCAGGTGTTCGGCAGATATGTGTGGGTCTTCACAGAAGTGGGGTCTTCAGTGGCAAAATCACTGTAGCATGTGTTACTAACGTTAGCTACAAACCCCTAGCTAGTTAGCAAACTTGCTAAAAACTTTGACTACGGTGTCTGCGACTGTGACACGTAGCTCCTCGGCTAATGTGTAGCTCGGCTCAGACACACAGCCCCACACACAACTCCAGGCTGTACCTTAGCCAGCTAACGATTGCCGTTACGATAAGATTGGATCAGAAATAAAAAACTATCCGCCATGCTCACACACTGGTGTCGTGTTATTTTTATACCAATTCGCCAACACTAACAGGCTCGTGGAAAGTTGAACTAGCCTTTAGCTAGCGAGCTCATGTTAGCATACAGTTTGTTCTAGTAGCTCGCTAAGTCCACGTAGGCATACAGCTGAGCAGGGGAGAAATGACACGGAGTCAGGCCAGAACATACTGTAACGTTCAAGGTTCACCAACAAACTGTCCGCCCGACAAACAGCACTCTGTTACGTGTATGACAGGCAGAGCTCATATGGAAAGATAATACGGTTATATTCAGTAGAAAACTGTCAAGTACTTACTTATTTTATGTACTCGTCTGCCCTGAAGGTGCAGAAGCTGAGATGAAATTCCACTGGCGAGAAGGTGGGATTGAAGCCTGACGGATATATACCAGTGCCGCCCACCAATCATATCCTCCAACGTCACGTCAGAGAGTCCGATTACAAATAACTTATTTTCATTTCTAAGGGTGACACACTCTTGTATAACTTATGAACTCCGGTTACATTGCGTATCAAACTCATGTAAGATAATATGTGATTAAATTTGTAATCCCTGGACATTGCAAACTTGGTCTAAAATAAGAATGTGTTAAAATCACATCTAGAGGAGAGTATTCATACACACACAAAAAAAAACACAATTTGAGATGTCAAAATTCTGTTTTATTAACCACACATTTCAATATGGGATCGTTTCTCAGTGTCTTCAGAAGTGAGTGAGGTCAGAGGATGGGCCCATGCCAATCCTCCTACACTGAAATCCCTTTCTTGGTAATAAATCTAGGGTTGCTGTTGATCTGAGATATCAAACAAATCCTGCCTTTTTCTTTGTTGACAACAGCCATGTGCAAAAATACTTTCTCTATAACAAGTTCAGAGAGGCTGCATTCTCAGGCCATGGTCATTCCTCAGCTAGGTGTTAATGGATAGACTGCCGAGGTCACAGAGTCCACAGTCTACAATGAGAAGAATGTGGTAAACATGAATAAAAATAAATAAGTACAACTCTGAGCTCAAAACATATCATTAGGGATCAAACAGAGAGACGGTCCTTGCATGAATCAGTTTCCCTGAACACAGCGATTCTGGGTTTCTTGCACTTAACAACAATGACTGATAACATGAAGATAACATCTCTATTATATCTCTATTATAGTTTGCAAGGCGGGCTGAGTTATTCATGAATGAAATGTGTCAATAACAGAGGCCAGTTGATGAAATGGAAAGCTGTACTTTAATGGCAGTTCTTTCACTGCACACATTAAATGCATCAGACTTGATGTAATGCAAAATTCCCATTTGTTGTCCTTGAGCAGAACGAAATCCTTTGAGTCCAGTATCGATTCTGATTAAAGGTTATTTACCAATACTGAGACTGGTGAAGTTATTTTGTTTCTTTTTCTCAATTTAAAACTGATTGATATACGGTAATATATGTAACATAACATGAGGGTGAAACTGTACATCAGTAAAAGTGGAAACGTTCATACACCAGTGTTCATTAGGCTTGTGCAAACTTTAATTATTCTAATACTTGGTAGATTTCTTCCAGAACTTTAAAGACAAATTTTTTGGCATTCATCAATGGATGGAGTTTGCATTCAACATTCACTGTGTTGGAGAAGGAGAGCAATCAATAAGGCATCAAATGTTGCCTTTGAATGAATGAAGAAGAACTCACGGTCAAATGATTTTGATGAGCAAAAGGGTGTCTTCTTTCTCCAAGCCCCTCACTTCTGCCTGTGGAAGGCACCTCAAATTTTTGAAGCTGCTTGTCTTGTCTCCCTCACTACTGAGACAGCAGGTGTCCAGTCTCTGGCTCATGAAAGACAGCAGGAGATAGCTCAGGAATGGTATGATTTTTTAAAAACATTTGTATTAACCAAAGGTTATAGGGGGCAACAGCACACTGAAACTAGATCAGAGATACACAGTGGGTGAACAAAATCCAACAACAGCCTTAAAAATACTTTATCAAGATGTATCACGATCACTCTTTGGTACAATGGTTTTACAGCGGTGAGCTGTAAAGCTCAGTGGTTATTACAATATAATGGATACAGTAGCTCCATAGTCTGCAGCCTCAACACATACCACACAGACACAGCAAAAAATGATAACCTCCCTATAAAGCAAGTGCTTAATACAAGGCTATAGCAATGGCTGTTGCTGTAGCCACCCTAAAACAAACATTGATATAATAAATGAAACACACACCTACCAGACTAATTTCATCATACCGTGAGGAGGCCCAGGGCTCTTTGAAGATAATGCACACAGATCAAAAGACATCACTGAAACATAGAAAAGTCTATCAGTCCAGACTCCATGCTCTCTATTGACCATCTTTATTTTTCTCCTGCTTTACATCAACAGCAGATTAACAAATCAGAAATACTCAGCAAAATAAAAAGAGGAAAGCAACAACATGCGGACGGGGTGACAACCATGATAAATAAGTAAGTATAAATGAAGACAAACATGTTCATTGCAGTGTATTTTGATAAGTGGTTTCCTTATACAAAGTAAGCAGATAAGCATCCGTGATTCCCTTACAGTATAGGCCAAATTCATACATGTGAGGATAATTTGGATAATATCACAAGGATGACTAAAAAGATCTCCTTTTTAATCACAGAAAACATCTGTCTTCATAATAGTGACTGAATTCACTCTTTCAGAGGCTTTGTTCTTTGTTAAGCTTTTCTCAGACCATCACACACAATACTCTGCTATATATGCCAACGTATGTCTCTGACCAATATTCCAAACAAAATCATATATATGTGTATATAACATTTATTAGAAAATGAAGCAAAAGCTTTCACAGGCCTATTTTTCTATGCATTTTTCCACACACACACACACACACACACACACACACACACACACATACAGTGTATCCAAAAACCATATATAAGAAAAATACATGTATTCCTATATAATTATCAAACAAAACAAACATTTCTGTTACATGTTTCTTTTTGTATTTTATAAGCAAAAACAATTGAATGAATAAATAAACAATACTAAATAAATAAAATAAAAATAGGCTATATAGTCCATTACTTAACATATATGCTTATGTGTGGCCATATCAGATTGTTACAATGCAACTTTGTTTTCTTTATTTCAGAGTAAAGAACAGTAGGGGGAGCTCCATTACAATATGCCACACGTCCCTTTTTCCTTTCCTCATCATATTAGTTCAATCTGACGCGTATTATTTACGTGCTGCTTCAAAACAATGGACCTGAGTGTAAAGTATACAGCAAATCCATCATGAGTGATGTAATCATGCTCTGAAGCGTTGAGACGCATATAGACACGTAATAGGTACGATCCCGTGACGCACGCGCGCGCCCACACTCTTACCTACTGTGCTGATTGAAATGTTTCTACAGTTGTGTTATCTGAGGCGAGAAAACCCCCATAGCTCATTTTATCTACGGGTCGAACTTTAGCCCAAACTTAAACAAAGGGCTGTTGTGCTTTGTGAGTCAAATCAGATAAAACGAATCAGATAAAACAATAATTTTATTTCCTCAGGGTGACAACCATGAGTCTGTAGATTAAACACACGTTGCCTCGAGACCACACACTTTTTAAAAAAACTTTCCACGAGGCCTTATTAAAAATCCACAACATATAATTTTTCAGGCGGACAAGTTTATCCTCCATCCATCACGGCTATTTAAAGTAAAAGAAGGTAAATCTTCCTCCTCAGCCTACAATCCTCGGCCACATTTGAACCAATGGCAGGAGGTTCGGCACTGCTTTAGCCAATGACTAACTAGTCTGAGTGCGCACTCCGTTGGACGACGACGACCATGGACTGGAGTTGTGTCCTTTTCAGTGTAACAAACTTTTAGCATTTAGTTTCGATACGGACAAAACGGTAAGTTTAAAGCTATTTGTGATATTTACATATTCTTGCAGTGAGTGGTAGTAGTGACGAGTTTTTGGAGAGAAAACTCGGTTTAAGCGTATTAATACTTCGGTTCGCTTCTCGTCGGTAAAGTAGTGTCCATTGATCTCTCTTTCTGAGAAAGACAATCAATCTCACCTCAAACCTTCGTATGAGTTGTGTATAGTTCGTGAGTGTCGTTCTGTTGGGTTTCCTCGCTTTTTAAATGTTGCTAACTGCATCATTCATGTGCTGTTGACCCAATTAGGCCCACATGCACCGTACGCTCATAAACGCCTAATCGGCACGGCGTCGTTTCTTTTTGTACTTTTAGGTCGTCCTCTCTGGTTCGCTTCAACCTACACTCTTGTTGAGTGGCACATAGATAGCTCAGGTGAATATTAGCAATTCGTCTCAGTTATGTCAACTGTGTGTTACATGTATTATGAATGAGCCTCACATATTCTCGGACAGCTTCAGACAGCCAGGCTAATTTTCTTTTTCTAATGAAACATGTAGAAATCATGTTAAACCAGTCCTACCCTGGATTCAACCTGCAACACTCATAGCCTCATGACAGATTTGCTGATCCCAGGCATGATAAGACTGTAACTTTACCACAAAAGTTTCATCATGTTCTGCATTTTCCCAACTGCTTCTTCCCTGTGTTTTTGCAGGACTGAATTGGGGGAGCTGCTGAGAGCAGTAATGGGGGATATTGAGGGTTCATACCGGGTCCTGCAGACCCCCGGCACAAGGCTGGGAGCCCAGTTCAATGCTGGTATCAGCACTTTGGAGCCGGGCCAGAGCCTCAGTGGCAACATGATCGGTGGGAGCAAAAGCCATGGGCGAGGACTTCAAATCCGTGTGGAGGGGCTGGACGACTCCCAGGAGTTCTTTGATATAGACGTAAGTTTCTTCTCAACTGTTGCACAGCCTCATTACAACATTGTTTTATTTGCACTGTGATAAATCTGCAGTTTGTCACACAGCAGGATACGTCTTACCTTATAGTCCTCGGCTACCCTGGTTGCGTGTGGCTTGTGACAGCTGCCACATGGCTTTGGTGCTGAAATCCCTTCCTCCTTAAGGCTTCTTATTCGGGGTAACTTAGTGTAACTCACCAGGGCACTTTTTAGTGTCTTAGCTGTGATTTCTGCTCAAGAGCCAAGTAGTAACAATTTCTGTTCTTAAGCTTCGACCAAAAAGGAGGTAGATAATATGGCCATCCATGGACACAAGCTTGAACATGTTTACCTTTACAATTTCAGTGGAAACAAGCAGTTCATTTTAAAATGATAAACCTGTGTGTTCCTCAGTGCTGAGGATGCTGGAATGGGCAAATTACAGTAGGTCTAGACTGGCTTTGATGGGTTTTGCTTTGTAATGATCAACACCAGCTTTTACATTTTCTTATTCAATTATAAAGGTGATGGAGTTGGCAGAAAGGACAGGGTTTCCAAATATTGTTTTTCTAAATCTTGCTCTGCCATCATCACTGCCGCCACCACAGCACCGACCGCAAGTAACTAGGTAATGTTACCACTGATAAAAATGAAATTCAGCGGACCTGATCAAATTGATTTAAAAAAAAAAAAAAAAAATCAGTTTTAAAGCACTAGAGGAGCATACAGTGCCAGGCAAATTACAGAGATTTTGAAATAATGAGCTACAATTACCATGGGTGAATCTATATCCAAAAATGCTTTTTTCTTGTCATTGTAATTACTTTACAAGTTAATTTAAAGATTGGCAGTTGGTTTGACCTCTGTCACAGTGCTTTCCTGTGTTTACTGGCCAAGTTGCTGCTGGAGTCATTAAAAAGGCAAATAGGAAGCAATAAGGAAGCCACTATATCAGAGCAAGTTTCCTGTCTTTTCTGTGGGTGGAGAAATCTCAAAATAATCAAAGTAGTCTCCACACCGAATGAACAACCACGTCAATGGCTGATCGATGGAGGAGTTTTAATTTGCAGTGTAATATAACTGGACTAACAGGCTACTAATTGTATTAGAATAGGTTAGTGTATTTAACGTGTGTAACTACTCTGCTCTAAATCCTGTTGTAGCCACAACAATAACGGTTCTGGCAGATGTAGTGCGGGGCCACTGCTGAGACAGACATTTCATAATCTTATGCACCATATGTTGTCTCAAAGTCTAAAGCTAATCGAATGTGACAAACACAAGTTTAATTTCCATGGAAGTTTGTCCCTGCGCTGCTTAGTCTGGAAGAATATAAACAATTTGGTTAGTTTTAGGAAGATATTCAGCCTTAACATGTTGACAGACAACTGAACTTGGCCTAGAGAGTTCAAAGAAAGCTCTAGACGTGGTGTTGATAAGAGGTGGCAGACCCGAAATACATGGCTGCAAAAGGGGAATGACGGCAATCCTGTTGTCAAGCAGACTGCAGTTTGCGGAGAACAAGATGGCCTCTGAGAGGCTCTGTTGTTCCCCACTGCCCAACATTGCTTAATATTTGTGCTCATTCATACTGAGGAGTCGTGGGCTGGTGGGAAGATAGTACTAACGTCTATGTACAGAATGGCTGCAGAGCTGTACATCCACTGCATGACTTCTATTTATTTTTCACTTCGAAGGAATTGCCAGTGTGCTCTATCATTATTAATTTTATGTCTATGTTACCACAGCTGCTTAAAAGAAATGAATGAAGCAGCATAACTTTTCCTACATTGTAATTGTAGTTTTTCCTCATGCACACTGTATGCAAAAATAGATACAAAATTGCAGTGTTGAATGTTTGAAATGGTTGTGGCCTTCAAGCAACAGCCTCCCCTCATCGTGGCATTTTGGTTGCTCAGCTGCTCAAATCCCATATACATGTATACAGTCTTTATCATCTGTCAGTACCTGCTACTCTCACTATGTGCTGTGTAGGGAAGCATAAATGCACTTTGTTGAAATTCTGCTCTTTTCTACAAAAGGAGGACAAATTTGCTTCTGGCTTTGTCATGTGTTATACTTTTGCAAACTGGAATGCATTACAGATTTCATCTCATGATAATGGAGAACGGTAGGAACATATGGTGTGATAGAACAGGTAGTATTTATGGTTATATTATGTCTTTAGTCTGGAACTACAACAGACAAATCACATCTGAGCGAGTGTGCTTTGGTCTGTGGCCTTCATCTGCTGCAGGTACCTCGCATGGTCATCATCAGCAGACATTTGCTTGCATGGCTCTTGTCCTCAGGCCCCTCCTACAGCCAGCACAGGAGAAAGCTCAGCCTTGTGGTTTCTGGACAGAGAGGCAGGGCCGGCAGGGCAGGGAAACACAGGCTTCTTTTATCCCAGCACAGCCAGCCCCTTTGCTGGCCTTAACTTCCAGCTCAAAACTTGCAAAAAGACAGAGGGTGGGATGTGGAACCTAGCTGTGTGAAAATGCAGTACAGTCGGGGCATCGGTGGGAGGGAATCCGGGCCGGCTTTGCTTTAGTGTTAGCAAACAAGCACATAAATAGCAAGGTTGACAACCAAGTGGGTTTGGAGGGGGGGCAGAGGGGCAGCCTCTGGTGTTAAAAGAGCAGTTCAGAGGGAGCAGTCATGGCCAGTACAAAGTTTGAGCCGGGGTGTTGGGGGAGGGGACACTCTCAGGAGTGAAGCCCTGCTGAAAAGTTTGGAATTTCAACCACTGGCCTGTGGCAGAAATAACTATTTGTGAGTGATGAAGCTGTTTAATGTGGTAATGTGTTAGTGCTGTTTTGATCTTTTTACTGTTTGTACAAGTATTCCTTGTACAAAAGAAAAGAAAGATACCGGTGCGTCTTTTTAAAATGTTGTGTGCATTTTGCTATATTTTGAGTTATATCAGACTGGTATAGTTGGAGATAATATGAAAGTAAAATTGTCTGCGTAATGGAGCAGAATTGGGTATGTGTTTCGTGTGCCTGCTCAAAAAGGAGTGCTCTTCATTACAACCACTACAGCTGAGCACCCTCATCTCTACAAAGCACTCACACTATCCCACTGTGTACTGAAGTAGCTCATCTAATGGCTGCGCCTAGAAGGACTTCTTTAACATCTGAAACAGCCCCCTGCTCTCTACATTACTGCATTACTGATCTTTCCCGTCGTTCTGATATGTCTGTTTGTCCCCAGGGGTAATTGGCTGCCACTCAAGGAGGTTCCACCTAGCCCATGCTAGTTTCTGTGTATTGCAGGGCAAGCTTAGTTCGGATAGTATCTGGGTTACACAGGTGACCTGAGCAGAAGGCACACTAAAACACCTGATCCCGATTACCACTATGTTGTGTTTATCTGCCAACAAACACACTGGCCAACTGTCCCACATACATGTCCTCAAGCCAGAGAGTGAAAAGAAATCAGCACTTATTTAAAATGAAAGTTGCCCTTAAGTTAAGAAAGGCATCAAAGAACCCTGTGATCTTTGAAATGTCTCCTTGACTTGTGAAAGTGGCCACTGGTGTGCAAAGCTTTAAAATGTATGTCAGCAGGAAATCTCCTGGTTGCATGGCCTAAACAATGAACATCCCACTGTGCCAGATACAAGCCCCAACACACCCCTGCTGTCAGTAGGAGGTTCTACTAGAGCTCACTGCCATTCACTTGGTGGCAGGGGAGTATCAAGGGCTGTTGGGTGAACCTACCCTAACCTGTCAGGCAAGGTACACCCAAGCCTTGGACTTGAATTAGGCTGGATAATCTTTGGTTTGTTCTCTGTGGATGAGAAGGGCAGTCCTCAGTCGTAGCTGGCTGCTTTTCAAACCTTGCATTTGTATGCCCCCCCCCACCTCTTCACACACAGGGGAAGATTTGTTTCCCAGAGAAACATCTGTTTGTCATAATCCCTGCTGCTTTCAGAGCTTGATTGGGTGACCCACTGACCTGCCTTAATGTTAGAGCTCAGAGATGAGACCGTGGTCCATACCACAAGTTGAGTGTGAACATACTGCACGAGATCTCACTGTCAAATCACAAATGCTCTTGAATTGAAATGCCAGACGGGCTTTTAGGTAGCAGCCAGAATGGATTTAGATAAATCGCATTTGAAGACATGGTTGGTGAATGCTGACCAAGTAAAATACCAGAATAATTGGTAAAAATTACAACTAGTATTAATTTTACCATATTTTTTTTTGGGATGACTATAAAGTGTCAGACTTGTGAAAAATCCTCATCACAATTTCCCAAAACCCATGGCACCATCTTTAAATTGCTTAAATTGATTTTCTGAGCAGCAGTAACGAAAAAGCAGCAAGTCATCCCCTGGTTCCAGAAAATGTTTGTTTTGTTTGGTATATATCTTTAATAACAAAATTAAAGTTTGCAGTCCCTTCATGCTACATACATTGAAAAAGGTAATTACATTTATAGTAAAATTGTATATAAAATACAACAATATATACAATTCTTCATATAAATCTACAATCAATATGCAATCCATCAATTTTTGTTGTCAGTTAATTATTGGACTGGAAATTGAATTGAATCAGCTCTAGTAACCTTTAAGATCAGGAAAAGATAATATTAACTAGTATTCCAGATAATGTTTAGATCACATTCTATCTCTCTGTCAGGTCAAGAGCTCACTAGCTCAACAGATAATAGAAATCATCTATAATTTTTCTATCTGTCATTTTGTTGCTCTAAATTCTAGTTTGGCTCATTAACTTTGTCACATGATGTTATTTATTCCTCTTCTCCCTTTTTGTTACTGCCCTTGAATGCTGAAATGCCAAGCATGTTTAAAGGGTGGTATCCCGTCTGTGGTATAATGACTGTGCCCACAGTGTATACAGTAACTGATTGCACATGCCGATAACCCAACTTGGTCAGCCGTCAGAGGAAGTTATTTTTGATTGGAAATTATCTGCACAGGTCTGCATTGTGACAACACTACTTGTAGAAATTGTATGAATTTAGATAGATCCAATGCATAACTGTCTGCGGACACTACACCGCATACTTTATGTATATTCACGGAGGAGGATGTGAAGGGGCTTTATAGTATTGCCAATTGTCTGTTGAGCAATTAGATCTCTGTGAAAATGTCATCCCTCCCTCTCAAATTGTGGAAGATGATAAAGCTGAATGTCCTCCTCAGGGACTAGAGTGCTGTAAATGCAGTTTTACATTCCTGCAGAGGGTTAATGATTAACAAAAAGGAGGGGCTTCTGAAAGCACACCAGTAGTTTGCTCATGACTACTGAGGAAAAAATCTGTTAACAGTTTATTCTAATCTGCCATCGGTTTTTGGTCTTCTTGACAAACCAATTGCCCCAATTATGATTTTTCACAGCTCTGTAAGAGAATATTCTAAGATAGAGACGAGATGGATGTATTTTAAATCTCATGTGCCAGTAATTATTAGGCTCATCATACCTCTGTAACATATACTTTAAATCTGACGTTTAAACACCGGTTAGCCTCAGTTTACCCTAAATTACAATCGAAAGAGGTAAAGATTGTAAACCCTAAAGGGTTTATTGTATGGAAGTATTGTCTTAATCTGCAGGGAAGATTTGGTTTTGCTCTAATAACATAGTCAACAAAGCACCTCGGTATTTTATTACATTGACCCTTTGCTGAATTGGCATTCACTAAAACGGTCAAAATTGAGACAGAATACCTAAAATCTTCTTCCACTTGGCTGCTGATGCACTTTGAATACTTACTGACTGGATAGTATGTTTGGCCTGCACACAAAGACAAACCAGACAAAGTATTTTAACACACCAGTTTTTTGCTCTCTGGTTGAGATCATCTGTAATCAGACACTGTAAATGCATGGAAAAGGGGCATTTTATAACACATTCCTAAATTTATGGATGTTTTGTCAGTAGGTTTCACCTGCAATTTATAGATTTTGTGAATGCAGAACATATGATTGTATCAAAGTAATGAAAAGACTAACTACAGTAAATCTCCTGGCACTCTTTGAGTTGTAATGCTTTACTTTAGCCAATGCAAAGCAGTTCTTTTTATAAGGCTTTTAAAAATACTATTTTACATTACAACCAGATGTTTCAGGCTATAATTTTCTCAAAAAGTCACAGGCTAGGATTCCAAACCTCAAGTGCAGTGTGTTCTTAGTACATAGTAATTAGTTCTTCGTTTAGTGAAAACAAACCCCAGAGCGTTGAGAAGGTAAACTTCTTTCCTGCCCGTGATTTTGCTGCAATCTGTCCAGGCCCAGATACAATAAATGTACAGTAGGATGCATTTTTGCAAGTTTGCTTGCTCATCCAAGTCGAGGAAACTTTGAATTGACAGATGGAACATACGTAGACATAAAACACACAATGAAGTTGATCATTTACAGATGCCAAATATTTTCTGCACCACACAGACAGAAAGCACATTGAACACAAGCATGGCCTTCTTCATCTCAGCAAAAAATTAGTTTTTGATCGTGATGTCTGTTAACCTGTTAACTGTTTATCAGCTATTTTGTACTTCAAAATTGTTTTAGTCAAAACAATGTAATTTCTCTTTCCAATAAAATTGTACAATACGTACAGTATATCCTCAGTAGATCTCTGTGTGGGCATAGTGATGAAAATAATGATTCCTTTTTCTCTGTTTTTTCTTTCAGCCAAAAGCTTTTGGACAGGGCCTCCTCTCTGAGGTTTTCCTGAGAGGCAACCTCATAGAGAGTGATTACTTTGGCCTCGAGTTTCAGAACATGCAGATGAACTGGGTACGTCTTTTGTTTCCTGTTTAAACTGACACATTGAATATCCAAGAACTGACATGCAAAGTCATTATACATGTCAGTCAAGTACTCATCAGCAAATGCAGCCAGTGTTTCAAAGGTCGAAGGTCACAGCTTGATGACAACATGACATGTCTCAGGCCACAAGATGAACTCTTCAGTCATTTCTCAGCCAATCAGTTGCTCCTCTTTAGCTTTCTACGGGCAGTGATGTACTATTGTTTTTCCTGGACTAAAGCAGTATATAATCCAGGAAATATTTTTAACTTGTCTGGCACAAGTACCCATATGCAAATGTCAGACTTTCCATTGTTTTATTCTTCTTGAAGTATAAGTGGAATTCAAGACCACCTGCAAGTTCTTTGAAAAGCAACAGAAGAGATATAAAATGTACTGTATATCTTCTTCTTCAAAGAGAATGGAGCCACAGGCTTTTTAGCTCATAACTGTAAGAGTAGTGAAAACCCATACTACTTATATACAGTACTAGTTGATCTGCAATATTGTTTTTAAAGGAGCTTTCGCGTGACAAGAGTCGATCATTATGTTTAAAGGCCAGGCCTGCTAGTATAAATAACTGAAAGCCTCTTATCAAGAAGGTAAATGACAATCTAGATCAAAGGTCAGATAATTTCAACTTTGGCAGCCCTGTTTGTCTTTAATGCTCCTATTGCTGTGTATAAAAGCAGAGTTATTCCAAAAAAGGATTGGAGGCATTGTTGCAGTTTTAAGCTTTTTGTTGTATTTTATAACCATCAGCAGTAGCAGGTAGAGTTAATATTAGCTATAAGATGTATGATATGATACATATGATGGATTTTATTTTTTCTGTTGACATTTGTTTTTGTTTTTTTTAAATTGATCAACTAATATTGATTGTAGAGCTGCAAATAGTGATTATCTTAATCATCAATTAATCTGCCAATTATTTTCTCAGTTAAATGATTAATCATTTAATTTAGAAAATGTCAGGAAAAAAAAGAAAAAAAGCCAAAATGTAGTTGAGCCCAATGTGTTTTGGTTTTGTTTTTTGTCTGATGGTCCAAAACTGAAATCTTGTATATGCAGTTTACCATGAATTTGAAGAGTCAAAACTGTTTTTGATTTGGTTAGGTCATAGCCATGGAGTATTAAATCACCCATCTTTGCTCACTACATCTTAGCCTTTCTACCTTCAGGTGTGCATAAACTACAGGTCACAAACTTCTTCTTAAAATACAAAAGTGTAAAATTCGGTATCAGCCATAAGGAGCAAGTAATTATCGAGTATTGGCTGAAATAAAATTCTGTGTTCATCCCTAGTATCTATGCTTTTTCTGAATTGATTTGGATGCCCTAACACATGCATATGTAACTACAAAGTGAGAGAAGGATTCAGGCAAATATCAGCTGATACCAATTTCTCAATATATCGGTCTGGATCCAGCACATTCCTCCCTCAATCAGGCCCAGATGTAATAGGGCAAGCAGGCTCCTGCAGTGAGGCAGTAAAGCCAGTTTTTGCCCACGACACTGCTACATCACTCTACTACGCTAACACAATGTACAACCACTATATAATAAGGGAGTCATTCAAGGTAGAGCTGTCTCAAAAACAGTTCTCATACTGTTGTGAAGATAATACTGTTTCTTTCTCTTCAGGTTTGGCTGGAAGCCACAAAACCCGTTGCGAAACAAGTTAGGAGTAAGTGAACTCAAATATTAGCTTGATATTGGAAACTAATGGAAATGTGTGTTTGTGCTCTGATGATCCGTTTTCATGTTTTTCAGGACCAGCAAATACGCTATTTAGGCTGTCAGTGAAATTCTTTCCTCCAGACCCCGGTCAGCTGCAGGAGGAGTACACGAGGTCAGTGACTGTAATTTCCTACTGGATATTACTTTTATATCATGCCTGAATGGAAGGGCTTTAGAAACACAGACTTTTTTTTTCCCTTTTTAGAAGAAAGAATGATTATGGTTTTCAGGGGCATTATAATGTTTGTCTCCCCAAAAATGTTTATGAACAATAAATTCAAGAAAGTAAAAAAACGGTACAATTTCAATGGAGGGTTTATTAAATCTTGCGCTTCATAAATATGCACATTTAAGACTTGAGTTAGTTTGTGAGGGGCCGTTACATGACATTTAACTTTGTTTAAAATACTCATCCATGTTTGTGTATTTACTTTTCATGAACATAAACGGATGGACACTGTTTTTTTTTTTTTTATAGGTACTTATTCTCGCTGCAGATGAAAAGAGATCTGATGGAGGGAAGGTTGATCTGCACAGAAAATACTGGTGCCCTGCTGGCCTCTCACCTTGTCCAGTGTATGTTTAAGTTGGTAGTTTTGCAACAATATTTAGTTTGATAGAAAAAATATGCTGCAAATATATTGTGTCAGATTATTCTCGTTCTCTCAGCGACTGCATTTCAACACCATACTTCGGTATTTACAACATCTGTTGTAACATTAAAGTGGTTTGCATCAGGCAGATTTGATTGAGCGCGCAAAAACACTCATGCTAACACACACAAACAAGGCTGGCAGTTATTTTTCTGTGTGTTGCATTAAGCATTTCAGTTGTTTACCCTATCTTCATTGATATAAGGGGTGGACAAAATAATACAATAGTATATTGTGGTGTAACTCAACAGCATCACAAACTACAGCCTTCAGAATGATTGTGCAGTTAGATCAACAATTCTCTAACGCTGCTTCAACAAAAAGCAAACAAAATAACCTTCTTGAAAGGAGGATTTATTGCAGAACTCATGCACACATCGTACACATACAACTACACAGCACACCTGCTGTATTCTGTGGTTGTGTTTGAAAAATTAGTGAATAACTAATATCAGGTTTATTCAAAACTCTTGAGTCTTGTAAGAAAGTAATATATCCACAAGAATTAGGCACACCATTCTCACCACATAGAACTTTTTAATTAAAGAAATGGTTTCATCCTTGGTATTGATCCAAAACCAATGTGCACACACCCAAAGTAAAGTCAGTTCTAAAAAGTTACCTCGCTCAACAGATGTTTAACTCTATGTACAAGGAAAAACTGATGTTTTGCTCTTCCTTACACCACAGCGGAGATTGGTGACTATGATGATGTAGCAGACAGGGACTTTCTGAGGATGAACAAACTGTTGCCATACCAAGAGAGGGTGCAAGAGAAGATCATGGAGCTCCATCGCAGACACCTGTAAGTTGCTCCCTCTGATCTGTCTAATTACACACATACTAATTCAATGGTTTTTTTTTTTAGTACAGGTATACACATGACAACCTCTGTAGTTTAAGAAGAGTAAATGTGGTTTATTACTTTCTACTTCTGACCACATGTTAAGCCAGTTTTAAGCCAGTTTACTGTGACATGTGAACACAGCTCAGTTGAGCTTATTGACTGTTACAGTTTGACCTCACTCCCAAGCAGGGCCATAACATTGTGGGTTAAAGTGATTATTCCCTGCTCTGAGAATGCAGTGTAAGTAACAAGTCAACAGCATCACCACAGGACACCAGAACAGTATCATTGTTTAACTACAGTATTAGTCATTAGGTAACACTAGCCGTTGTAAGAAGTGAAAAATAATATGCAGGTGCACTTCCCTGAAAGATTGTTTACATAATGCCCACTTGGAATGAATACATTGTTTTCACATGCAGATTCATGCGTTCTGAAAGTTTGGAGTGTAGTAGGAGTCAGAGCCACTTCACATTTTTAGCTAAACATTGAACTAACCACAAGTTTTGAGTCTTAACTGCACATTGCTGCTTCCAACCTTTTAGACCATCTCAAATTCATATCCCACAAAAGACATCAAATGAATCACAATTTCTAGATTTTGTAAACAGTGGCATGTTGTTTGTGCCCCTTGTTTTATGTGGCTTTAAACACAAATGTTTAGTGTTAACTATGATGAGGTCAACTGAACTGAGACAACTGTGTTCTTGCTAAACAACCATAATGAGAGGGTTTGCCCAATTCTACAGTCCAGAGTCTCACAAAACCACTCACTGCACTTTTCCCACCACTAGCCTCCTTGTTAGCACAGTACTATCCTATGGCCAATAGGGGCTCTTTTCAATCCAGTGTATTAGGCGGCTCTAAAGACCTTTGCTAATCTGTTCCCTTGGTTGCCAGTGTGGAAGCACAAGCGGCAAGTTCCCTGGCCTAATCCCCTGCTCTGGCCGGTCTATTAGCCATAAGGCCAGTGGGGCAGGGGAGGGCCCTAAGGAGATTTCACCGCTTAACGGATGAACAAAATTAGAATGTGGTGATGATTGGATGGATATGTCTTCCTAACATGCTGTTTGGTTGTAATCACATGGTTTTAGATAATGCCTTTCAAATCCTCGAAGTTATAAGAGATTTAAGGACACACTTCTCCAAATAAAAGCCATGATACAACTGTTGTTTAAAGATGTGATAGAGAAAGCTTGCAGAATGGAATCAAGGCTCCACACTAAAGTCTGGTTAATTTGTGATGATTAACCTTATTGGTTTGAGGAACACAATTGTTTAACTGCACTTTTGGTATTTGATACATGTGGGAGAATCAATATCAAAAATGTTGCAGTAATATTGATGATACAAGCTAAAAATAAGTGAGTTCAGAATGCAAATTCAAGGTCCATAATTGTGAGTTTAAGATTTTATAGATGTGCAACAATATTTTAAACTCACCGATGCACTGGAAACAACTGTAGGGACCTAAGGATTGGTGTGATGTATTCTTTTTTCTTTTTTTTTTTCCATTCAGTTATCCATTGTAATTTATGTCAGTAATGTAGTTATTTAGTTTACTGGATGTTTCCTGCAAAACTATGTGTAATTTCATTGTTTCATATAATTTGATTGTTTGGAAACCATGTAAAAGTGAAAGAAAAGAGCCTCAAGTATTGAGCCTTGGGGAACCCCGCTTTGGAGACAGCTTATCACCGTTTTCTAGTCTGTATGGTAGTATTATATGCTTGATGATGGCATGATATGACTCACAAGGGTTCATTTGTTTTATTGTCTAATCCAGGGGCCAGACTCCAGCTGAATCAGATTTCCAAATCCTGGAGATTGCCCGTAAACTGGAGATGTATGGCGTACGCTTCCACCCAGCAGCTGACCGGGAAGGCACCAAAATTAATCTGGCTGTTTCTCATATGGGCCTTCAGGTTTTTCAGGTGACTGCTGCTCTCATACCAGCTGTCTTTTGTGGTTGTGACCCTCAGTCCCTAACAATGTTTGCTGAAGGTTATTTCTTCCTTTTTAACATTCCTTTTTCTCCCAGGGCAACACAAAAATAAATACCTTCAATTGGTCCAAGATTCGTAAACTGAGCTTCAAGAGAAAACGCTTCCTGATCAAGCTCCACCCAGAGGTTCATGTATGTATTAATGAACTTAATTCAGAAAATGTTGAATTTTTGTTATTTTATCTGTGTCTCAGATTTAACATCCACTGTGAAGGAGACCGGTTTACTGTGTGATTTCATTGTCTTTCTCTTAATGTTTGTTTTCAGGGCCCCCATCAGGACACACTGGAGTTTATGATGGCCAGTCGAGACCAATGTAAAATCTTTTGGAAGATCTGTGTGGAATACCACTCATTTTTCCGTTTGTTTGACCAACCCCAACCCAAATCCAAAGCTATCATCTTCACTAGAGGCTCTTCCTTCAGATACAGGTATTCAATTCTTACATAAAAACAAAGGCATGTGTCATCTTTAGCGCTTTCTATAGATACCTCTTGTCTAGATACCTTCTTGTTCTTGTTTAATTATTCAGTGTTTTAATTCAAAACTCTCTGTCAGTGGAAGGACCCAGAAGCAGCTTGTGGAGTACGTCAGGGAAAATGGAGCAAAGAGAACGCCATACCAGAGGTATGTGTTTCCATATACAGCATGTGCACTGTTTATCAGAAAGACAAGTTGTTTGACTTACTAATTCTTACTAAGAATTGTTTCCACCCTGCATTCATGATAATAATTCTGCCATTAAATTGTTTCTTGTCCAGGAGGAACAGTAAAATACGTATGTCTGCTCGCTCCCTGGCCACAGATGTGCCAAAACAGGTCAGTGGTGCTACAAGGTTGATGCAGTTGTGCAACAAATGAAACTATGTTTCCACATAGTGTACTGTAATGAATAAACTAATACAAGTCTCCTCCTTTTTTTTTTTTTTTTTAACTTTCCACTTTCTTTTTCTTCCCTCCCTTCTCACGTTTCATTGTCTGTGTTGTATTGTTTCAGTGCTTGTCATTCAATGACAGTCTCAGGGCCCCAGGCTCTCCTTCCTCCGCTACTGTGTCCTTCTACCCAGCGCACATCTCTAGCATTCTCCCAAGAACAGAACTCCAACTTCAGCCCCAGCCTTTGTCCACACTGAGCCGGTCTTCAGCGCATCCCCAGCAGCACCACCAGCAACAACAGCAGCAGCTTCAGTCCCCTCTGCAAGTCGCCAGACCCCCCAGCCCTCCGAAGGAGGAACCTGTCAAGGCTGCTTCCCCATCTCACTACGCTTTTCAAGGTGCCCCTAGCAATCAGGCAGCAGGACACTGCAGCCCCTTGTTTGTGTGTGTAGAGAGCGTCACTTCCCAATCACAGCCCTCCAAAAATGGCAATGAGGATAATGAGCATGGTGGGAGAAGGGGAACTGGGTGCTCAGTGGGAGGGGGTGGAGGGAAGAGAAAGGGGGTTCTTACACCTGAGGCTTTTGAGGCGGAGCTTTTGCGTACAAAACAGAATCCCATGTTCTCAATGTCCAACTCACCGCTGCATGTCACTGAGGAGTTCATAGATGATGATCCCACTGAAATTTCCTTTTACGGTGGCGGAGCTGAAGCCTTCACTTTTGGGCTTGATGATAAAGTAGATCAGTTTGATTATGTTGAGGATTCTGAACTTAGCAAAAACCGGATCTTTAGTGTTGGCATTGAAGACCTGAATGGGAATAATAATCCCTTCCCTGATAGCATTGTTGGTCATTCTGAGACCAGCTCCTTGGTCAACAACCGCTCTGAGTGCAGCTCCCTGGACAACCTGGGGCTCAGCTCTGCAGGTGAGTCCATGTCAGTGGGTTATGGAGGCAATGACTCCTCCTCGCTTCGCCTGCCAGGCTCTGACATCCAGTCAGAGGCCAGCTCTATGGTCAACTTCCCAGCGTACTCTGTGCGTTCTGAGAGCAGCTCTGCTGTGCAGTTCAGTGACCTGGTAGAGCAGCTTGAGCAGCTCAGCTACCCACCCACAGCCACTGAGGGCTCTGGGAACAGCAGCTCGGATTCAGACTCCGACTGGGGCTCTGACAGCGTCCTTCCCCCTGAGCAGAATCTCTTTTACAGTAATCCTCTGACAGGGAGCAGTGGAATAGAGGGTTTCCTCCTTCAGTGCCACAACCTGCAGGCCCTGGCCCTTGCAGACCCCTCTGGGTCCCCTCACATTAAAATGTAAATCACATATCCATATAGCACTTGAGGCCGCTGTCCAAATTATAGTGACTTGTGACATTGTGATTAATAATTATAATAAGTAGCAACAGCACAGTTCACTCTTTAATAATGCAATTTAACCTCACTCTCAAGCACACTCTTGGTATTCACAGTACTTTTATCATTAGACAATTGATAACAAAGATGGGTGCACTGTGCGTAAAGCTGATTAATTAACCGCTGTTGTTCAGCTGTCTTTATGTTTGTACTTGGACCTGTACTCCCATCTGCCTTGATGCACATCTTTGTAGTGTACAGTTGTTAGCTGTCACATACTTTTATATTTAACTCTCTCTACCGAGAAGTGGAGGAAAGCATCTGCTGTTCCATATGTTGGTTTTCTGCAGCAGCACTGTTCTTTTACTATGTGTCAGTGATTGACCTGGTGTACCCCTGCCATGGTCACATTGTGGTGCTTTTTTTTTTTTTTTTTTTTAAATCACTCCTGTCTTCTCATGAAGCTTGGCTTATCAAGTTTGGGCCTTTCATGAGATTCTTGAATGACATAGTCTTTCTTTGTCTTTTTCAGTTGTCTTATCTACAATGTTCAGCCTATTTACAGCAAATGTTGATAATGCATTTTGGGTTAATCCCTCATGCATTCCAGAAAATGCAAAACATTTTGTGCTTTTACTTTGGAAGCTTTATATCTTTCTAATACATGTTTCACGTCCTTTGAAAAAAATAATGAACACATTAGCATAGGAATGTCTTGTTTTGCCTATCTTTTGCTGAATACATGATATAATACATAATTTAACTCAGGATGTCAGAAAAATAATGTTCTGCATCGACCTTCCAATTTGATTGCCTTAATAGTTTCAATTTAATGAAACGGATTAAAGGAAATTTGTAAGTAATGTAGAGTTTTTTTTTATGATTTTCTACCTATATTGTAACTATAAGTTGACCAACAAGTACACTTAAAAATGTGATTTCTTAACTTACAAAGTACTTAACAAATATATTACTACTATTGTTATTATTAGTAATAATCATCATCTGGCTTTTAATTCTCATTTATTAGATGGTACTTATTGTGCAGTGTAGTGTTTTCCAGTAGATGGTAAACAGTAATGGTTCTCTAATCTAATGTCTCCAATCTCAGGGTAAAAATAAAACCGACAGTCGTCCAGGTTCAGTGATCCTCACAGGCCTCCTGTATTTAAAAAAACAAAACATGCCATAGAGCCACTTTTCCATTTCCACTTCTGTGCCTCACTGACATCTGCTGGCTGAAGCAGTAGTCTGCATTCTTCACATGATCAGACTAGACCACAGCATGTACTAGTTTAAGATGCCTGAAGGATACAAATATATTTCACCATAATAGACACAAACTAACATTTTGGCTTTATGTAGAGCTAAGTTGAAGAATGTAAGCAGTGTACTAATGAGCCTTTAAGTACACTGTTAACACCACTTTCTGCAAAATGAATGTATCATCTTACATGTATGTAAGGCTTTGTGCTAACTGTAGCAAGGTTGCTACAGAAGCACAGTGTTCGACACAGTAGTACTTCCTTTAGAATACAGAGCATTTAGATGTAGCGCTTTTCAACATTAGAAACCATTCATGTTTGTTACTTCCAGGAAACCCTTTTGTATATAGGAGGTAAAGCATTTATTGAAACATCCGTACCAGTTGGAGGTTGATGCGTCTCTTTTCTGGCATGTGGCCGTTGGCCTGTTTTGGGGTTGTGGTATTGGCTATCGTCAGGTTACCAACAAGATGGTTTTCTGTTTATTGGAAGGAAAAAGGGGTCTTTTGCACATTAGCTTTGAATTTCTCTTTTATATTAGCTGGATTTTTTTAAAGTATTGGTATTGGAACGATAGTTTGCTATCATGTGGTCAGTCGCTAATATGCTAGCATGCACAAAGCTTTCTTATTGTTTTTTTTTAATCCAATCTCCAGGCCTTAAGATATGTCTTGTCAAGTCTGTCTTAAATTGAATTTTTTTGTGCCGTAGAACACGAAAAGCTAATACTGTGTTGAAATCAAGCTAATCAGTACTATGTTATTAATTCACTGATGTCATTTCCTTAAAACAGTCTTGACTTACAGAGCCTGATTTTTAATTTCCTTTTTATTTGAGCTCACTTTACTCTGCCCGAAGGCAGACTTCACTTGGCTTTTGCAAAGTTTGCCTTTTCTGTGCATGTTACAGAGCCTTCTTTTTGTCTTGCACCGCAGTGCCTTAAAGCACTTACTTTCACTCTTTCCAAGCAACATGCTTTCATGCGTATCTCAGGTGTACGTTCCTGTTTACTGTTCAGTTGTGGTGGGATGTTTCTGGTGAACATCTGTGTGGGCAATCTAAATCAAGGGTTTTCCTCTTTAGTAAAACAATAGTTAAATACTCAGAAGTTCTCATTGTCATTTTGAAGGATGGCAAGTAGCCATTTTTATTTTTCATTTTGAGAACACAGACAAACAACAGACAGACATATTTTCAGAAGTGTTTCTGCAATCTCTTCACATTTACAAGTGTGAACAGTTGTTTCTGTGTCACCTTGGAGAGTGTGGAACATTTAGTTTCAGACGCCATCAGTTACCTAGTAGACCGTGTAGAGTTGGTTTTTATGATGAAGGGTTTGTCTTGATGGCTTTTTTTTTCTTCTTATTTTTGCCTTGATTCTTTTTCTGCCATGTGATTTCTCCCACATCTCAACTAAAGATTTAATTACTGACGGGCTGACAATTATAACCATCTAAGCTAACTGCACTTAGGCATCAAGTTATCATCACTTAATCCTGAACATGTATATTGACTTATTATAAACAACCTGTACTTAATGTTTGTATGTTTTACTCTCAAGAATAAAGTAATCACTTTTGGGTACCATGAATGTCAGACTTAAAATTCTTTTTGAGATGCAGACTGAAATCAAAGACTCGATGGTGATTCTTTCAACTGCTTTAACAGAAACCAGTGGTGTTACATATTCTTCTAGCGGCTAAAATGAAAGTTTGTGCATGCAATTTACATCTGTCTTCTGACCACAATCTTGCAGTAGTGTTTTGTGTGTGTGTGTGTGAGTGTGTGTGTGTGTGTGTGTGTGTGTGTGTGTGTGTGTGTGTGTGTGTGTGTGTGTGTGTGTGTGTGTGTGTGTGTGTGTGTGTGTGTGTGTGTGTGTGTGTGTGTGTGTGTGTGTGTGTGTGTGTGTGTGTGTGTGTGTGTGTGTGTGTTAGAAGAAAGAGTCCCTTGATGTTCTGAGGGTTATATTCAGACACCAGACTGAAAATATTGTGAATAGACGTGCTGTTTTAGCCTCATCATTTGCAAAAAAATTTTAAAACTAAATGAAACTCTGCAGGACCAATTTGTGATCCCTTTGTCCTCACATAAAATTCTTTAAAAATAGGAGTGGCATACTCTGAATTGTCTAACTCTGATGTTCTCCTCACTTTAGCCAGTCCTTTGATTTTTCAGAATGAGTGGATCATGTTCTTCTAGAGAACTTAATCATATTATTAGTAGGGACTGCTTCAGTGTATTAGAAAAAGAAGCCTATGTGCAACAAGTCAACACGCAGTCATTTTCCTTTTTATATGTGAGGCAACAAACTCGTGCTGTTGGGGGTTGGGTCAGATTCGTACACAAGATTCCTCAACCTAATTCCAGCTGAGTGTGTGTGCTCCCTGTTTGGACAGGCTTTGTGCCAAGTCATTCCACAGCAAACCCCTCGTCCCTCTGCTGCGGAGCCCGACGTCCGTTCTCTTCCCCTCTCGTGTCGTCCCCTGTGGGGCACTTCAGATAAACTATAAACAACTATTTGCCCTCCAGACAAGCCACATTCCTGATAAGTCTTTGCGTGAGCAATTATTTCCGGGTCGTGCAGTGACTTTTTTTTTTTTTTCCCTCTCAGCCTTCCCCCACTTCTTTTTTTCTCTCTAATAGAAGTGGAAGAACAGCTGTGGTGACCTGTGACTCAGTAAAGAGGATAGCCCAGCGTTTCATCTGCTTGTTTTGTCTCCCGATTTTTTGTGTAGCAAAGCTCACAGGCAGAACAAAAGCAGCAGAGCCAGTTGTCTGAATTGGAACCGGGCTCGTATAAGTTGGCAGTGAATCATTTGTCCTTCTTACAGAGGGCTCTGAAAACAATGGCAGGGGGAGAAATGTGGGAACCATTACTTACCCTGGTCTACTCTGCCGTCTCCCCTTTCATTTGTGGCCAATGTGTGTGATGAACCATTCCACTTGTTTTTGTTATAATGTGCAGCACTTAGGCAGTGCGCTTTTTTTTCAGAGAGGAAATAAGATAATTGTAGAAAAACAGATTAGGTGAAAGTGAAGCTTACTTTTGTGTATTTGACTGTGTGCAACATATTATAGCACGAATGTGCTTTTGTGTTAAGTTCCGCTTCTTGTAGAGAGCTGTGGAGATTGTTGACTCTAACTCCACCCATTTCAAAAGATCATGTTTATCCTGTTTGGGCAGATTCTCTAACCTTTGTGATTCAATATTTTTCACTTTCCCAAGCCCCCTACACAAATCTTACTTTAAGGTTTAGTTATTTACACAGCTTTTAATTTCTGATTTCCCTCTTCCTCAGATTCAGTTGTGGACAGCCCCCAGCTCTCGCCCTTCCAGCCCAAAGGTCCCCTCTGCCTATCACCCTCCTTCCAGATGTCGACCCTCAGCCTGCCAGGCCCGGCCCCGTCGCCCCTGCAAAGCCCCATCCTGAGCGAGGTGGGCAGCAATGCCAGGCTAGAGGAGGAGGAGGAGGGCAGGAGGAAGGTACACTGCTTACATGCCACCCTTCCACCCCCCGCCTCATAACAACTCTACTCTTTTAAGAGTAGAAATCACAGAACCCACAGATTTCACAACTTCCTTATAATTCTTAACGGGATGGGATTTTTAAACCTTTTGTCAGTATAATGGAAGGAAAGATGATCATTTTCTCATGGTGGGAATGTTTTGCATCAGTCAGTTTTGGAACTTTTGTGCCTCTTCTCCCTCAGCGATATCCCACCGACAAGGCCTACTTCATTGCCAAAGAGATTCTGACCACAGAGCGAACATACCTGAAAGACCTCGAGGTCATCACTGTGGTGAGTGTTTTTGAAAAAACTGTTCAGTTTGGGTTTGTTTTATTTAATAATGTGCATCAAAGGATAACAATAAGAAAAAAGTAAATAATAATAATAATACAAAACAAGCTAGTGTATAGTGTATACATTGTTTTTTCAAAGGAGATGATGAAATAAAAGATATACAGAAAAGCAAAACTTTATAACTTTTTCTAAAACCAGGCCCTTGGGGCTTATCTTAATGATTTTCAGTTCAGTACAAAAACATTTTTACATTAAACAAATGAAAGATCCACCTTTTGCTTCATAAAGATTCTTTCCATCCAAAGATATCATAGATACTGACTTTCTACTAATGGCCTTCATGCCTGTGGGACTTAAATCAGAAAAAGGTATTTGATGCCTTAAATTTCTGAAGGCAGGGCACTAGGGCTCTACCCAAATCAGAAATCTCCAATTTGACTCTGAATGTCCAATTTTTAGAAATATATTATATAGAAATACTGTATATAATTGACTCCTAGGCACAGTTACAGTCCAGTCCCACTAAACTCCTATAACAGCCTACAGGAGTTTAATGTTCTACCTGTTAACACCCACGTTTTAATGCCTTTTTTTCATCATCTGTGATGGTGAACATCAGATTTCCACACAGAGAAAATAAAAGTGTGCATCTTAGTCATAGTTAATACTCTGCACTTTAGCCAACTTTGTTAGTGGTCAGCACTGAAGATGAGTGTTGAACAGAAACGAGTCGTGCTGCTCAGCGACACTCTGCCCTCTGTTTCTATCACCCTGTCTTCATTAGAGTTAGTTTTATTGTTAGCTATAGTTGGACTCGGTTTGTAAAGGTTTATATACTACCATGCTGTTATCCTGCATTGCACTGTGTACAATGACTCAGCTAAAAAAAAAAGTGATTGAGGATTGATGGATTCAAATCAATCAGGGTTACGGGGGCAGCCCTTCAGGGACCAAAATAAGTCTTCCAATTTAACTTCAATTTCTTCCTAAAGAACTTCAGTCAAAGGAAACTTGGCCGAGTGGATGATAATGATTTGCTTTGGATGACCCACACTGTCTTGAACAGCAGGATGTATTTTGTAGAGTCTTTTGAACAGGAGTAAAGTAAAAGGTGTTATAGTTTGAAACAATTGCCTGTATAAAAACTCTTAGCAGAATATTATTGCTTTTTGTTTTTTGCCCTTCATTCTCCCCTCATCATATATACACACCAGTCTATTCATTAGGAGAATATATGCATCAACATTCTGTTGCCCCTCTCCTGCTCCCAGTGGTTCCGCAGCGCTGTGATCAAAGAAAACGCCATGCCCGAAGGCCTGATGACCCTCCTCTTCTCCAACATCGATCCCATCTATGAGTTCCATCGAGGCTTCCTCAAGGAGTTAGACCAGAGGCTGGCTCTCTGGTAGGTGCTCAGTGTTTGTCTGTGTGATGAGATGTATGGAAGCCTCTAATGAGATGATGATAAAGACAAAATCTGCAAATCTGTCTGTTTCCTCAGGGAGGGACGCTCTAATGCTCACGCCAAAGGGGACTACCAGAGGATCGGTGATGTGATGATGAGGAACATGTGTGCTCTTAAGGTGACAGTGCTTTGCTAGCTCTCCTTTACATGTTTGACTGACAAGCAGAATGTCCTGTATTTCATGCCGGACATGTTTATTGTTAACCTCAGGAATTCACCAGCTACCTACAGAAACACGATGAGGTGTTAACAGAGCTGGAGAAAGCTACCAAGAGGCTGAAGAAGCTGGAGACAGTCTACAAAGAGTTTGAACTGCAGAAAGTCTGCTACCTGCCCCTCAACACGTTCCTGCTCAAGCCCATCCAGCGCCTCATGCACTACAAACTCATCCTGGAGAGACTATGCAAGCATTATTCTCCCACACACCGTGATCACGACGACTGCAAGGGTCAGTTTTCCAAAGCTTATGTCCCTGTTAAAGGTCCAGTGTGTAACATTTAGGAGGATCTATTGACAGATATAATATTCATAGTTATTAGTTTATGATTATTCATCAATCAGTATATTGGTTTTTTTACCTTACAATGAGCGTTTTATATCTACAAATGGATCGCCTTCCGTGGAGCCCACCATGTTGACACACCATGTTTCTACTGTAGCCCAGAACAGACAAACCAAACACAGGGCTGTTTGCGTACTTTTTTTTTCTCCCTCACAGTTGGAAAGGGAGGGTGAAACGAGTGAGTTGTAATCTGCAACTACACCGCCACTAAATCCTACACACTGGACCTTTTTTAATGTTAACAAAATGATACCATCTCACTTTTTCTGTACATCACCCACAAACCTGTATTATATTAACACTTTTACTACCTGATAACTAAATAATGAGCTTGATTTGCACAACAAATTCCATACGCAACATTCAGCTAGAACTGCTCAGCTAGAAATTGTATAAACATTATTACATTTTATATAGTAAACAAAAAATTATATTTTTGCGTTTTGAGTCACTGTGTCCGTTTTGGAGATCACAGAATCATACATTCTTGACGGGATACATGACACACATTGTACTGCCTTTACAACTTTCATGGCTTTTAAATATGCAGTTTGTGCAAGGAAGCAGCTTTACTCTTCCCCCTGATGGCACCAACAGCTAACATTTACAAATGTAAACAGTTTTTAACTATTCATTGTAACTTCATGTTGGAGTTGGGCTCTGTGCTTTTCTTCCCAGTAGGTAGCCAGAAGGTTAGTGTCGATATGCCGCAAAGGCAGATATTATGTAGTGTGATTTTGTTGTAAAGATTTCTTATTAAATATGTTAAAGGTAAAAGAGTGTTGCCTGCCTTCCAAAACATGTTTACTGTTTCTGCACTTAGAAATAATGTTGCTCCAGTGCAAGTCCTATCACTCTTCCAGTGCTATTTGGCTAGATATGTGTGTTTTTACTTCATATTATTATTATTATTCATATTATTATTCTTGGAAATATGATTTTTATACAAAACATCTACAAATTGAAAGTCACATTGTCTTTGTTTCCTTACAGAGGCTCTGAAGGAAGTAGCTGAGATTGCCACTCAGCTCCAGAGTAGTCTGATCCGGCTGGAGAATTTCCAGAAGCTGACAGAGTTGCAGAGAGACCTGATTGGTATAGAGAACCTAACAGCACCAGGCAGGGTGAGTGCAATAACAGCGAGCAAATGGTAGGGGGTGCTGGGTGAAAGTGGAACACAGTATCTGACAAGCTTTTTGTGTTTTTAGGAGTTCATCCGAGAGGGATGTCTGTACAAGCTTACCAAGAAAGGACTGCAACAGAGAATGTTTTTCCTGGTTAGTACAAAACTGCTATAACTTAAACTGTTATGAAAAATTAAAGCTTCAACACTTACAAATCAGTGCACTTAAAACAAACTCTAAATGTTTCTGTTGTCTTTTCAGTTCTCAGACATGCTCCTCTACACAAGCAAAGGTGTTACAGCAACCAATCAGTTCAAAGTGCACGGCCAGCTGCCCCTTCACGGCATGATAGTGAGTATATAAACTTCTAGTTTTAACTTTTGACTCTCGTTAACCTTCATCAGCCCTGTAAAGCTCTGGGTACACTCTCAGAAGAATAGTAACACCTGATGGTGAGATGTGTAGGTTAGGGGTTCTCAGTACCATCTAAACAGTGTGGCAGCATTTTGAGAAGGGAGGGCCTGGGTCTCCTAACGTTGCATGTCTCTGCTTTACTCCTGGCTGCAGCTCATAGTGCTGGATGCACCGGTAAGTCCTCTGAACTCTGCCAGCTTGGATGCCCAAACCCTACCCTTCTTTTCCCATGCTTGTGTAGACCAATCACCAAAAAGCACACCTAGCAGTTTGCTCAAGATGCAGAATCATGTCAGCCTTTGCTGCTGTTTGTAGACATTTATTAAGCCAAAATAACCCCATGGACATCTCAAATGATGAGATATAAGCAGGACATCATGATGTGGTGATGATGATGATCAGGCGACACTAATAGGTGTGTTTTGGTCTCGGGTACTGGTAGGAGGCTAAAAGAAAAGCAGGATGTGGACTCACCATGGTTTACCTCCACACAGAAACGTATAGGTGCTTCATTAGAGGCTCTTTGGCAGATCCGCCTGGGACTTGAGTTAGACTCACCTTTCCCCACCTCCATTCCTGAGCTCTCATTCACTGTAAATAAATATGTTTACACTGAATGATTCCAATGTTTGGCTTATGTTTTTTCTCTTTTGTTCGTAGGTTGAGGAAAGTGAAAATGAGTGGTCGGTCCCCCACTGCTTCACCATCTACTCTGCTCAGAGGACCATTGTAGTGGCTGCCAGGTGAGGAGGGGAGATAAAAGTAAAAGTTTAAGTTAAACTGTAGTGTGTCTCAGTAGTATACAGAGAATTAGGACTGTGCAGTATACTCCACAGATAAGAGGTACTTGCTCATATTTGATTATTAATCTTTTTTTTTATTTAGATCCTTTTCATTAAGCTTGTACCAAACATATTATTGTCTCACTGTATCCTACATACAAGACTTGTAATACTTTAATTATCTGGGCGGGTCACTCAGGTAAAGCCTTCTGTACCACGTTGGTTTCAATGTTGATCTGACAGACTCATTAACAACAAGCCTCCTCCGCACGACTTTAAAACAAACTGCTGGAGAGAGAAACGGGGGGGGTATTTTGTATTGCAACTCTGCCTCAGAGCGCATATTTTTCTTATCTGACTCCGTAAAAGTGTGATTTCTGAGGCAACAACATAAACAATAGAGCAAAATATGAAACCATAGACGTTTTTCTATCATCACACAAAATATAGTCTTATCACATAGCCCTATGAAGACTCGGGTATCATAGATTGTAATTGCTAACGTTTAGTATCAGAAAATGAACAAATCTAAGTGAATAGGTTCAAATAATTTGTGTTGTGTTTTTTTGCCATGTTGTAATTTGCGGTTTTACTTTCTATCTGTACTGTAACCAGTGCACGGTTGTCCTCTCTTCTGTCTGTATCTTTGTGAATTCAGCTCTAAAGTGGAGATGGGGAAGTGGATTGAGGATCTGAACATTGCTATTGACATGGCCAAGAAGTCCCAAGAGAAATCCAGCATCTTCCTTGGCGCTGGACTCGGCGATCACTCCAACCGTAAGAGCTTTTACTGACCTCAGTGTTACGTGAAGAAGATGTACAGTAACTACAGAGCTCACTGAGTGGGAACGTGTGCTCTATGTGACTTTTCTATACTCTGCTGAGTCATTGAAAGTTTTTCCTGTGGGATATAGCACGCATTCAAACGTACAGTTAATCCCTTTCCTCCAAACAACTTCCTCTCCCTCTTCCTCCCCCTACTTCTCCTCCTCCTCCCTCAGGATCGTCTGACGAGGTCTCTCTGGAGCAGGAGTCGGAGGATGACATGAACTCCTCCCGTACTTCACTGGACAAGCAGACACACCACCGTGCCAACACCACCATGCACGTGTGCTGGCACCGCAACACCAGTGTGTCTATGTCTGATCACAGCCTGGCTGTGGAGGTAGTCCTCCTCTGCCCACATTAAGACATGCATACACCCCCATTTACACATCCACACACTCTGAATGAGTATGCAAAAACACAGACGGATGTAGTTTTAGGCTCACACTTTCACCACGATGTCAGTGGACTTGAGAAAGCATCTTGGGAGTTTCTCTTTCTAAACCTTTAACTTTTCTTTCATGTCCTTTTTTCCCCCTGGTGACCTGTGTTTCTGCTCTTTGTTCTTGTTTTCCCATGCTGTTGACAGTATGTGTATGCACGAAAGGTTGGGTCATCATTTCTCTGACACTAACATTCTTACTCCACAGACCTGGAGGACTTCCTTCCTGCTATTTCTTTCCCATTTCTTCCTCTCTGAAGCTAACTACTAACACTCTCTCTACACCCTTTCTCCCTTTTTTCTCTTCACCCTCTCAGTCTTCGGCTCTCCGGCTGTCTCACCAGAGCTTCCTCCTCGCTATCTCCTCGGTCAGGGCCAAAGACCAAACACCATCACACATGTTTGCTGGTACCGAAACCAGAACCTCTCGCTCACTGATTACCTGCGCATGAACCAGGTACTAGAGCCAGACGGATTACTAGAAGAGGTCCAGTTATTGTTCATTCTCCCTGAAGTCTTAAAAGAGCTAATTATGTATTTAATCACATGTTGAAATTCAACAAAAAACAAACATTGTCAGTGTTTTTATTAAGATTGCACTCTGGTTTATTTGTTCATATCTTATATTTTGTCCTCCATATCTCAGGAGACAAAAAATCAACAGATTGCAGCATCTGCACACAAATCAGAACATCCACTCCAATCTATCATTACCTAACAAAACAAACAATGTCAAATAAGAATAACAATAATAAAATGGAGAATGTGAAAATAAACAGCCACAGCTCTCAGCTGCAGGCTTCATCTAGGTAGCATTTTAGTCCCTGAACACTTAGACCCATTACAAGTTCATTTCCAAAACAAACTAGTAACAGTTTCCTGATATGAAAGAAATATGATGCATATTAAAATGTGCTGCAGTAATCGATCAGTTCCGCTAACATTGTGCTCACCAAAGTAACATGACTGCTTGTTCTTGTTGACTTGTTGGACCTATTTTTAGTGATGTCTCCACATTCCAAGATATCTGCAGTTACTTTGGTAAGTCCAATGATATATGAACTAAAAGAAACAATGGTCAGAGATTAAAAAGGGCTGTAAAGAAATGTAGTTTTCCTTTTTTAAATGCACGGCAATGATGAGATGAATGATGCCCAGATGCATCATCCGTAAAAAGTGCACTTACTGTATCATCTCCATGTCAACGTTCTACATCCTAGATACAGGTCAGCTTCTTGAACGGCTGTTCAAAACTGTCTACAAACGAGAAGTGTCCAGTGACATGAACAGGAAATCATGATTAATCTGATTAGAATAAATTAATGCACTTTCCATTTTAAAGTTAGAGCATGCATCAACACTTTAACACCCTAATTAACACCCAAACATCCTGACTGTTATTTAGAATTTATGATGAAATATCAGACACAAGCATTAAAATCTCACTGTCTAACCTCTATATTCTCCGCTCCCTTCGCCTGTGTAGAACCAGCTCTCAGGTTACCTCCTGAGGAAGTTTAAGAACAGTAATGGCTGGCAGAAACTCTGGGTCGTCTTCACCAACTTCTGCTTGTTCTTCTACAAGACTCACCAGGTCAGCAGACCCACCCTGAGATGCATTATTTCTTCTAGAGTACAAGACATTGTACACATGTATACGAGATCAAGTGGATCTGTGTTCAGAAAGCGTTTCCCATCTCTGTTTGCAGGATGACTTCCCACTGGCTAGCCTCCCCCTCCTCGGCTACACGGTCAGCACCCCCGAGGAGTCGGACAGCATCCACAAGGAGTATGTCTTCAAACTGCAGTTTAAGTCCCATGTTTACTTTTTCCGGGCAGAAAGCGAGTACACTTTTGAAAGGTACATGACTTGTTTCTAATTCCCAGAATATTTGAGGACATTTCACAGCCTTAAAGTCCTGTAGTATAACTGCGTTTCCTGTCTCATCTTTACAGATGGATGGAGGTGATCAAGAGTGCAGCCAGCACTACGGGCCGGATGAGCCTGCTCATACCCAAAGGAGGTCCCATGGAGATAAATGGAAACTGAATCAAACATCATGTATCTGGAGGCTGGGCCTCTAGGACATCAGAAAGACTGTCCAGTCTCAATGTAATGTTCAAGTGAAGGGAACATTTGGACAATACCAACTGGAGACTGGAAGATACTGCCAGTTTAACTGTTAACATTTCTCAGCTTAAGGATTTAATTCTAATGATCTGTGCTTTTTTCTTGATTAATGATGTATATGGTAACATTTGTTCCTGTATACAGGATATAATGAAAGGGAGACGTGTATATTTTGATCAGTTTTTTTGCATGTGTAGCGCTCATTTGGGATGTTCATATAGACTGACAGGAAATACTGTTATATGGGACCAACTCCAACGCAAAGGGCTTCAGTTGTGGCTTTTTTTGTCTTTAGCACATGATGACTGAAGCTTTGTAGGGTACAGCTCTGTGCTATGACTAGGACGCAGATGATATACAGTATGTGGGAAATGAAGGTACAGGATAGTCGGTACTTTGAAAGAGTCAGGGAGGTGTGGGAGATGGAAGCGAGCAGAAGGTTAATGGGATGTTCAAGCAAGTTCATGAGTACGGAGGAAGTTTTGAGAAATTGCTGAAATGCTGCTGTTGGGACAGTGACACACAAGCAATTTTGGTTTTTTAAACATTTGGAAAAGTGCACATGTCTGGACTAAACCAATATGAACTATTTGTATAAGCAGTATTTGTTTTCTAAAACGCTATCTGAGGTTTTTTTTTTGCCTGGTATTGGAAAATAAACAATGTTTTCAAATGTTCAAAAGGGAGCTTTTCTGCTAAAACCTCCTGACTAGATAAGCGGCATTACGTTTGGTGCTACATTTCTCTCTTTAATATCAAATGTAATCAAATGTATCCTGTTTTTATTTTTGCATAGGGATAACAACTTGAGGAAATACTGTGTAGTGTTTACTCTGTGTAAAAGTTGCAGATTTTCCTTCTAAAAACAAATCAGAAGAACATATTTTGAAGTAAAGGTACTTGTGATGATGTATTTCTGTGTCAGACTGTTTTAGACAAATGGGAGCTGATTTGTGGGAGACGCCAATGACACTTATTGTCAGTTATTTAGTGCGCTACATGCAACCATGGTATTATTTGGTATGTTTTTTGTATGAAGACTGGAATCTTTACCCTCGGTGTGTGTGTGTCTGTGTGTTTGGGTGGGTGTGTGTGTGTGGAGAAGCCACTGGAGCTGTACTATAAGGTGATAATGGAGGTCATCTCCAAACCAGCTGACATTCTGCGTGTGTAAGCGACTGACTGTTGCACAGTTAACATACAGTATGTTACTCCTATTTATTGTCTAGCATGTCATCAGGGCCATGCTCCTGAATGCCCTCGTGTAGCCCTCATGTTATTCCGTTGAAAACCTAACAAATAAAAACTGTTTCAATCACATTTCTATGGCTGACAATTGTTTTCCGTCCTGTGTGTTGCAAATTGATCCTAAAATATATATTTTCTTTACATTTTATACATATACATAAGGTTCCTTTACATTTCAGCTGGTTAGAAAGTCCACTTGCTAGATCATTACGTTTATGTTTATGCAACACTGACATTTTTTAGCCACCAGTTTGCTTAACCTTGTGAAAGATTGCTATTCATGATTTCACATTCAAGACAATGTGCATTCATCAAACTGTATTTGTATAGCACCTTTATTACAGGTCAAGCTGATTAGACAATACAAATGTAAATAGTAAAAATATTTTAGACAAATGTGCATGAGAAATAAAAATGAATGAGATTTTTTGAAAATTAAATAAAAACTAGATAAAAGACTGACAATTAAAATCAATAAGAGGAGAGTATAACATTTTGACACATGCATACTATAAAATAAATGTTTAAATAAAATCAATAATGGCCATAGAACATTCTAATAATGGGTTTAAATTTACATTTAAAAATATCAGCACTATCAGCTGCTCTCAGATCCTCAGGCAGCTCTGAGCATAAAAACTTAAAACTTTATATTTATCAGTTGCGTTTCTCTGCTGCTCACCTGGAAAATGTATAAGGAGAAATATTAGAGAGTGTATACATTGAAACTGCTTTGAGCCAGAGCAACAGTAAAATACTGTATGAACACCTCAGCTGACACATGGGAAGCTGTAACGTTGCTTGAATACAGAAGGATTTGTGCTGAAAAGAAATCACATGAAGGCAATGACCAGTCTCACTGAGCTTTTTTTGGGATCAAGTTGTCAGTTCCAGTTTGAAGAGTTGTTGTCTATGATATTAAGGATCTACAAATCTGTTGAGTTGTCATAAACAAAGCAGGGCATTCCTCAGGCATGTCCAAACAGCGTGAACAGTGGGTGGGGTGGCTTCCCCAGAAATTACATTATTGCTCATCTGCCAGAGAGCTCTCTATTAAGGAGTGGAGAAGGTGTGTAGCTGCTATTACAGGGTTTTACTTTCAACACAACATGGCGACACAGTAGCACCACATCAACTGGTGCTATATAAGTGCTATATATGAGTTAAACTTGTACAACCAAAAGGGTTCATTTATGCTTGTTTCGTTACCTCTGGCACTATGTGTAGATTGAAGTATTTATTTACTCCACTGCCTTTATCTAACAGGTCTAGATAGTAAACAGTTTGCAGTATGCAGTGTGTCGGTTTCAGATCCTCATCATTGCCAATCACAACTTGATTAGTATGTGACAGAGGGAACACATCATAACTGACCTTCCTCATTTGAAGTACAATATAATGAGAAAGGAGTCTCCGTGTAACTCTGTACTTTCACCTTATTTCCTACTTTTAACACCTGCAGGGCTGTATGAAAACGCTGACTCATGAGTCCAACACCCCTACACACCTCAGCAAATGTACCAGACCCCAGCAGATACCTCACAGCTCAGCGGCTCTTTCCAAAGGTGACCAAATCAGCCTCTAATGCTCCCTGGAAAACATATTTCACTTGTTGATTCAGACCAGCTGCTTCGCCCTGTCTCCACTCTTTATGCCCAGGGACTACGGGTGGAAAATAGCAACTTGCTAAAACCTGGTGCAATGCATCTCTCCTTGTTATATGCAGGGTTAATGTTTTATTGTGCACTGTCCCTGCTCAAATAAAAGAAATAATAATAATGCTAAGCTAACATAATCAGCTGCTGCCAGTAGCTTCATACTGACCACACAGACATGAGAGTGGTATTAACTTTTTCAGTTAACTCTCAGCAAAAAAGCGACTAAATGTTAAACTATTCCTTTGACTACACTGTATACTTCATTTATTTGTTTTTCTGGCCTAAAAGTAGTCAAATCTGGCATGGATTTGTACTGTATTATTACATTAAACATAAAGGGTTTTTTAAAAGAATATGACACCACCCTCCAGGTTGCTAAATACCAAGGATGTGATAGGTATGGCCCTGAAACTATATGCAGAAGTATATGCACATTATTAGGATACTGATAAACCTTCTAAAATATGAATACAAAAATACTGTTATTGAAAGGAACCACTTGAGCACAAAAACAGTTGCATAATGTTCTTGTGGCTCTGGCGGGAGCTTTTCAAAGTCTGACAAAATAACTATTAAAATAATCTAATAATAATAGTTAAAAAATAATAAGATCTTTTATTATTATTAGTTTGGGCATGGAGACTAAAATCCCTAACAGAAAGCCTGCGTTGCACACTGGGAGCATTGAGTTTAAGAGAGCGTTTAGCAGGCAAGGAGAGTCTAATAAAATATGTTATTGGTTGCATTATGGGGAATGTAGGATTCAGTGTTTTGGGACTTTTTTACCATTTTTTTTTTAATGTGGCTCGCCCAACTATATGGAAGTGCAATACTGAATCGTTGGAGGACCCCTTTAAGGCTTCTATATACTGCCTTTATTTATCCTCCATACAGAGTAGAGTTTATATTCACTGTGGGCAGCATTTTACCTTCTAAAAAATTTTAATAATTTCAAATAGTCTTTCACAGCCTGCACTTGATCATTAAGTAGGACACTCACACATTCAGCACTAAAGACAATGTTTAATGTTTTATTCTGACAAGCCTCCTTAAGAAAAGTTAAAATGAGTAGTTTTAATGGATATTTGGTGATTTAATAACTCCAGCTATAGCAGCTGAGATATTACTGGGTCATGTCCTGTGTGCTGGTTGTATGAGCTGGGATGGGGGCGGAGGGGCGGGGCTTGTGTCGGTCTGCTTATCTCCGCCTTTGGACTTCACAATAAGTGCCCTTAGAAGGAAAGCCTGTCAGACTATAAACTGGAGCGTTTTTTACGGCTGGAGTGGCAGCAAGTCTTCAGTTCATAAAAAAAACAGTCATCAAAGCCACTTTTCTGCTCAGTGACAGGCTGATGCAGCCCGCTTAGGGAGACATTTTAATTGGGGCAAATTAGCCTATGTATTCTCTGGTAAGTGTAATTTAATTGTCCTTACCTTCATTATAAACGCGTATGGGCGCAATAACTTCACTTTACATAACTCTTCTGGTCTATTGTCAAACTTTTCTCTGCAGCCTGGAGTTTATATAACCTGCAGCCTCAGTAGACGGGCTGCGTTTGCGTCGGACAGCTTTATTATCCAGCTCAAAAGATGTCCACAAACTAATCCGCATGTCTGTTATGCAGGATAATCTCCAGAGGTCTTCCTATCTGCTAGACAAGGAGGGAGCGGGGACGTGCGCCGGGGAGAAGTGGCCGCCGTGCGAGGCGGTGGAGGCGGGGAGGTGAGCAGCGCAGTCCGCGGCGGATGACAGGGGTATGGATATGTTGCGCCGCTCGTCTGTGTTTGCGGCTGAGGTGTTCGACCGCTCGCCCACCGACAAGGAGCTGGTGTCCCAGGCCAAAGCACTGTGCAGGGACTACATTCACTCCAGGCTGAACCGTGCCGGGATAGGCTGGTCTAAGCCTGAACACGGACTGGCTGCATCAGGTGGGACGCTGGGAGAGATATCGTCGGTTCTGCTGTGGCTGGGTAAGTTTTGGGGATGACCTGCCAAATGTATGAAGTTTATGTAAAAGATAGAGAGACTCATGGGAGTTCAATGCAAGGGCGGATCTAGAGAAATTATATTCATGGGGTGGCCAGAGGGTGGCATGGAGGGGTGGCAGAAATATATGCTGATCACATAAATCAATATTTGCTTGGAAAAGCCCTCAAATAAAGACATTCGAACTCAAAAACGTTGGTACATTAGAAATATCTAATAGTGGCTTTTTAAATCAATCCATTTTCAACATGTCATTTTAAAATGAATCTAAATTAATATGTTCAATTTGACACCAAACTCGCCTTAGGGCCTCTAGATCGCTGCCCCTCGTTCAATCAAGACCCTACATCATTTAAAGCCATATAGTGTTCCTATACTATTCCCACAGAAGGTTAGATTAAGTTTATATATTTACGATGGAGGACATAGATGTCATATTTTGTATTTTTCCAGGAAATTGAAGGAATTTAAACGTACACAAGCTGGGGCTTTAAAAGACACACTTTTAGGCCAACAAGAACAATGAAAAAACCCAAGAATACATCGAGCATTTGAACAATAAAGAGACGTACAGAACTCATAATATTTATTTAAAATAACATAAAAATAAACTTAGGAAAGATATACTGAACATTTTACAGAATGTTCAGTTATCTTTGAAATTATCTAGGGGTGGGAGGATGTGGCATGGTTTGGACTCATGACTCCTGTTTGACATCACATCTGATAATTCGGAAATGTGTTGTGGGATTACGTTTCATTCTTACTGAAATACCTTGAGGTGATTCCCAGGAATCCCCGGTAAAACAGTTTAGTAATATTTCACTTCCTGGATGTTTGCCCAGAATAATAACTGATAGACCGCAGATGGCTCCTCCAGTTTGAAGTTTCACTTTACCATTTGTGGTTATCACCCCACCTCCAGTTTAGGTAGTTATGCAATTCACTAGGAACTCAGAGCCAACAAAGACTGTTTGGGACCACTGTCAAGCAGAAAGTCTCCCAAACAAGTTGAAAAACTGCTCACAGAACATAGCTGGCAACCCTCTGAGCCAATTACTTTTAGACTTTGTTCACTTTAAAGTCAACTGGATAAGAAGTTATTAGAACAAAACATCTACAGCTCATGAATGAAAATTTCGGATAAATAGTTTGACATTTTTGAAAATAGTCTTATTTGTTTTACTGCTGAGAGTTAGATGAGAAGATGGATGTCATTCTCATGTCTTTCTTATAAATATGTAGCTGTAACCAGCAGCTTAGCCTGGCTCTGTCCAAAAATAACTAATTAAGACATTATATCTTTTTTGTTCAATCCGTGTGCTGGAGTGATGGTGCGTTCAATTTAACTTGGGAAGTCCATAGCCAGAGTTTGTAGTGACATCACACCTAAGTTGACCATGTTCCAATAAAAGTAGCAAAACTAGCCATTGTTAGCCATACCAGTTGATAATGCATTATGCTGTGTTTTGCTCATACAAACATGTCTACAGACAGAAATTGGACAGTAATGTGTGTACGACTGTTTGAATGAGACACAAAAGACAGAAGTGCTAATAAACAGTGTATTACTACAGCTCTCACTTAGTTGATGCGTGGAGCAGCCATCTTGGGTTGGTGGGGTTCTTCCAACTTTCCTAACGTTAGTTGTAAATGTGACAGGGGGCCTTCCAGCTGAAATTTCTGACAGAGAACAAAACAATTCTGACTTCCTAGTTCCTTATTATTATTATTATTATTTTATAATACCGGTTCGCAGGCAACCAACAGGGTCATGTTATTGGTACCTTTGGACCGAGCCACGCTAGCTGTTTCCCTCTGCCTCCAGTCTTTACACCAAGCTAAGCCAACCGATTCCACATATTGAACTGAGGTATCAAGTCTCTCATCTAACTCTCGGCAAGAAACCAAATAAGCTCAAAACTTCCCAAAATGTTGAACTTTTCCTTTAAGTAAAAACAAAATGCAGATTTTATCCATGTAATATTTCTTTATTAATACTTGTGAGAGTGCTATAATTAGTGAAAATGTTATCACTGTACTGTCTATATCTATTAATCAGAATGCACCTGTTCATTTAAAGTGAGACTGTAGGCTATGGCTTTGGCTAAAAATTGGAGCTATAAATGACAATTATGGGATGAATGCTGAACTACTGCTTAGCATTTACATAAAATACGAAGCTATTGTTACAGTAGCACAGTGGAGAAGAGTAATAATGTCAGCCAACTAACTCAGTTTGGTTATACAGCAATATTCAACACGTTTGCTTACATTAGCTAGTATTTGCTACTGTAAGCTAGTACTGGTCATACCAGACCAAATAAGGCTGTGGTAGCAAAACCATTGAGGGTATATTCATATGTTAGAGGAAGAATGTGTTATTCCTTCTTTCAAAAGTTACATAGTCTGGCTTTAACTGTGTGTATAGCCTGAACACAAAGAGGCACAAACACAAATAGGCACTGCAAACAGTCAGTCAAATCTTTTTTTGACTGATTTTAGTCTCTTATGTTTTGGCCAGGTGATGAGTTGGAGTACCTTCGGCCCAACGTTTACCGCAATGTAGCGCGACAGCTCAACATCACAGTGGCGTCAGAGAGCATTGTGTCCGACGCCTTCCTGGCTGTGGCTGCAGACATTTTCTCCACAGGTAGGTCCACATCAAAATCCGGTTGTGTTGTAAATCAAGCCTTGCATGCAGGCCTGTATTATGGGAACTAACTTTAGTGCTTTGTTATCTGTTTTATCTCTGAGCTACACAAACTTGGGCTTGAAAATAAAGGAAGATTACAGTGGGTTTGTCCTTTTAGGGAAGTTCGTCATTTTGTTGTCATTGGGAAGGAGGAACTTCAGAGCTTGAGGCAGATACAATAAAGATATTGAAAGTTTTGAGAACTTAGGTTGCTTTTTTTTGTTAAATTACTAGAGAAATTGAGTTTTTCCTCTCAAAAAGAAATCAATTCCAGCCTCCTTTTTCATGTAAACACCTCTTTTCCAGGGTGACCACAGGACTCTTCAGTTAGCCAGAAACATTTTTTTGCGGTCATTATCCCCTCACAGGAAAGGAACCGTAGGAGAAACATTCAGTCCATATTAGGTTAACTTTTTGCAAGAGCGAGTGATTGTTACGGACAGTCTGGATCCCACCCAGGGAGTTCAGTCATGAACCTCAGCTGGCTTATTCCTTAGGGAATGTAAGAAAGCAATCTACTGCAAGAAGTGAAAATCAGGTTAGTCTGGTCCTTAGTATGTGCAAAGTTACATACAAAATCCACTGACTTCTTCAAACATTGTAGAATTGAAGAATATCTACCTTAATCCAAACAGGCTCTTATGGTTATGAATGCAGTATTTATTTAGGGTTTAGATAGAGAAAAACAAGTTGCAGTTGGGCTTCAGTTTCAGTTTACAGTTTGGAAATGTGGCCCTCAATGATTACAGTGTAAAGTTGGACATATTGTCTAGACACGTCACTGTGTGAAGAGGAAGTCATGGGCAAAAGTAGATTATGAACACAAATGTCATTCTGCATTCCACCAACACAGATAAACAACAGCAATAAAACAAAAACAATACATCTTCTCACTTCCCACGTGTCACCATGCAGCAGCGTAGGATGGGATGGCTTTTTTCTCTGAGTGCCCTTTATTTAAAGCTGTCCTGATGAATATTGTCATATTAACAGTGGCTCAAATTACTGTGTGTATTATGAAAGTTGTTGCACGTTGTGTCAAACCCACAGAGAAGGCTCCCCTCAGCTCTACAGAGCGCTTTAGTGTCTTTAAGCTCATTGTTTTGGTTTTGTAGCCCTGGACTTTACTGTTTTGGTTCAGTCTCATCACTTTTATCATGAGAACAGGGGTGTGTAGGAGAAACTACGGTGGCTGGGAAACTCGCAAAAAAACGCGAATGGCCCTATCTACAGCCAGTGTTTAGTTTGTGCATTCTGGGCTACTGTAGAAACACAGTGGAATCGCTGGAAGGTGACCTGTAGCGTCTGTAGATAAAAATGGAAAACACTACAGTTCCTATATTCAGGTGATTACACACTAATGAAAACATACCTGTGAATGTTAATAGAACCTCCTGAATGTTACACCTTTAAAGGTTCAGTGTCAAGAACGGGAAAATACCCCCGATCATGTCATCAGGGTTATCTCGGCTTGGTCTGGGAGAGTTATTTTAAGGAGGGATTTGTGTGCCAAACTGGTTGTGTGGAGTGTGAAAGATGTGTGTATTTAGGAGGGTTGCAACAAAAACACAGTTGAGTTGCATTATGGGAAATGTTGTGTAGGCTGGATCCTGCACAACATTTTAGAAACCTGGGAACTGGGAACTAAAAGCCAGAACATCTTGGCCTCCGCTGCATGGATTTCAACTGTTCTTTTTTTCACCTGTCTCTCGCAAAGGCCTCCAAATTTCTGAAAGCACTGAAATGCAGAAGAACAGCAGTTGGCAGGTTGTGAGAAATGCATAAAGAGAAAAGGAACACATACCTCATTCAAGATACCTAAAACAGAAGCACAATCAAGTCTTAAACTGTTAAAACTGGCACAGTCTTGTTTAACAGGGAGCTGTTGCTTTAGTATTCCTTCATACTTCAGTCCTTATGCTGTGTCTTCTCCCACCTTGTTGATTATAGTTAGGGGGTACAACTAGTAGAATTAAACAGGAAGTAGCTGCCAGACTTATTTCTTTTATATTTTAGTTACTCCTTACTCTGTAGCAAAGAGTAGGTTTTTACAAGATAAACCGTCACTTAAATCTCAACTCACCATAAGTTAGACAGCAGTGTTACAAGTGCACACTATTTACAGTATCATCTTGCAAATTTCAGATATCACAGTTAAAGAGAAGCACGACCTCCGTTTAGAGATTCTAGCAATGAATCAGTCGACAGTTAAAGAAGATTGATGGAGTCGAGGCTCAGTTTGTATGTGTTGGACATGTAAACACTGCAAAAATAGTCTGAGGCTTTGACTGTAAATGGTGTAGTGGCAGAAAGCTTTACTCAACATGGGAACTAAGTTGGAAAAATGATCTGCTCACTAATCTAGCTAGACATACTGCCTGCATGCTGCCCTGAGCCTTGTGTTTGGGTTTTCGTCTCTGTGGGACAGACAGGCATGGAGGCATAATGCCTGGCTGCTGCTGACGTTTTATCATTTGTTCATCCGTCTTTAGAAAGAGCTGCTGACAGACGTTTGCTGCACTAAAAACTACTCCAACTAAAAAGAGCAGAGTCACTCCACTTTGATTTAGCAAGAATCTTCACATCATTAAATAATCATTTTGTCTGCTAAACTTGCATGATTGGGCAATGTGTTCATACATCAGAAAGCAGCACATGAATAAATCTGTGCATGAAGCTTTGAGCGAGGATGTAGTTTATTTAGTTCTAACCGTCCTGCAACTTTGTCCCCTTTCAGGTGTGACATGGGGGAAGGTGGTTTCTTTGTACGCCGTGGCAGGAGCCTTGGCAGTGGACTGTGTTCGCCACGGTCATCCAGCTATGGTCCATACCATTGTCGACTGCATGGGGGAGTTTGTCCGCAAGAGCCTGACCTCCTGGTTGAAAAGGAGAGGGGGCTGGGTAAGGGACATCTATTTTTTTATCTGATCACTTGTTTGTGTGATTGCTGAAACTGATGGTGGTGAGTTTTCTCCCATTTGCACCATGCAGGGTGTAGCAAAGTATGTCAAGCTCACTGTAAAACCACTTAACCCTTCCATATATATTTGATCTAAGTCCCAGCTTCGATATGTTATAGCAATGTTATATAGAGAATGAAATGATGAAGGAACTCTCTGAATTTGAATTCAAATTGACTGATTTAAGTCTCTTTTGTTTTGGCAATTGTTTTCAATTTTTAATTTGAAATATTGAAAAATAAGCCTATTAAGTATTTATGATTGTTAAAAATTTTAAGAAATATATAATACAGACAGAATTGTATAAAAAAAACAGGAAATAATCTGCTCAGAACAAACTCTTTTAGACAAACTTCTTGCAGTTACAGAGTATAGTTTCACTATTTGGGTTTTGGGTTAATTATATAGTTTCTATTATAATATTAAATATGTCACTTAGTCAGTGGTCATCAGTTTACTAAATGATAGAAAAGGGGTCCCTTGAAGAAAAGGCTGGGTACCACTGTTAGAAGAAGAAACTTTTTTTGTGTTGATTCTGGTGGCCCCTGTGGACAAAAGCAGTAGTGTTTCATTGATTTCAAGGGGAATCCAACCAAATCTGACCCGGTGGCAGGCATTAACTATATAGAAATAGCCAGTCTTCTTGCTGATGGTCTTGTTTGTTTATATAGAGGAATCAGTATTCAATTGAGACTGTTTCATAACCGGTAAAAAACGAATCAGTCTCCTAATTTAACCAACAATGAACAGTTAGACATGAACAGCAGCCACTCCTTCAGACAGAGTAGATTTTTTTTTGGTCTAACTCGGGAAAACCCTGTCTGATAAAAATCCAGCAGAAACAATCAAGTGAAACTCAGGGACAAGAAGGAACAAGGCCTGGCAGCGTGCCTCTGTCTGTGTTCTGCTCTGCTGGAAAGAGCACAACAAGTGAACAAACGAACGCTCATGTGCTCTGAGACATTGCACCCAAGTCAGTTTTGTTTCGAAGATTAGTGGAGTGTGACAAAATGAAGAGCAATGGATTGTATAACTGACCTCATAAACTCAAATGATTGCAGTCTGAACTCAGACTGTAATATCTCTGCACTGGGAGGGGATGTCAGCGTGTAGGAAACTTAAATAACATTTTGTGACAGAGGGAGACGTGTTTAGTGTCAGGACTGACACTTTACTGTGCTCTCTGTGGAATTTCATTGTATATGAAGATTTTTTAGTCATATAAGTGGATTTCTGAAGGAAGCATTGCTGGGATTACAGTGTGGGCTTTGGCTTGGAAATTACATATTTGTGGGCAAGTTGTACTGCAGATCCTCAGAATATTGACAAATCAGGAACACGTGTGCACTCTTTTAGGTCTTTCTGTTGCGTATTTGCTTCGAATGTGACTGTTTTTTTGTCATGTTCACGCAGTCAGAGTTTATTTGGTGACTCTGTGTCCTCTCTGTTGTCCCAGGTGGATGTAACAAAATGCGTGGTGAACACGGATCCCAGTTTCCGCTCTCACTGGCTGGTGTCTGCTGTCTGTGCATTTGGACACTATCTGAAGGCCACGGTGTTATACCTCCTCCGGGAGAAGTGAAACACACACTGGATTCTGAGCAGACTGACCAGCACCGTACACCACCAGCTCCGTTCCACTAAAGCCTCCGCTGCTTTGGATTATGTTTACACTCATTTGCACTGAGCCTTTATTGATGAACACCTATCCCTTCACAGAAAAATGACCTTTCCTGCTTTTGCTGCTTCTTCTGCTAGATTGTCTATTTATTGTTAATGGTTGTATTATGGCACGCGTGTGATGTGAATGTATAAAATCATGTTTTTAGCTTTTCATTTTCCTAACTACTTCACAAACAACAGAACTGCCCTGTTTGATGCCTGATTTTCGTTGGTTTGGCTGCCCCTAGTGGTTGAAAATGGTAACTACTGTATATTGACAGTAAGTTGAGAATATTCCTCGGGATCCTGAGGCCACTCATTAGGCCTTGGTCTTACAAAAATCCCCATTTCTCACCTGGATGGCATATATGGCCCAACAGATGAGTGCATGCTAGGCAGCAACAACATATTTTACCCCAACTAAGGAACTGTACAAAAATGATTAGGGTGAGGAATCTTTCCTTTTTGCAAAAGGAAGGGGAGTCTGATTATGTGGGGAGAGCGAGGAAGGGTTTATATATTTTTCTCGCTATAGATTATTATCTTATTTCACCCTGCCCTTACAAGAATCATTTTAAAATGGGAACTAAAAGCATATATTTTTTTGTATTTATTTATAAGTTCAGATTCACACGTTGCCAACTTGTTCTACTAATTGGTGAAGAGAAATTAAACATTTCAAATGGGGGTTCCATTAAATTATGGAAGTTTAAATTGGGGCACGCCCTCTTAAATTGTTTATGAGTTTCCTCCTTTAGTTATTAGAAGTGAAACAAGTGGTACCGAGTACTCTTGTATTGTGTTTATTGGTTTATTGAAGGGTTTTTTTCTGAATCAAGAAGAGATAAGTAAATATTAATTATGCTGGGAGGGCCTTGCTTCTTTTTTAAGCCTAATATAAGACTCTCACCACTTCAATAATGTTTGTACAGTCCCTAATGAGTCTGGAGATTTGAGCCTACATTTGATACATAAATACATGTATGTATTTCAGACAGCACTGTACACTTTTTCTGTCTCTTTATTGCTTATTGTGAGGCAGTGTTTTATATTGCTGTACTGTAATTGCAGTAATGCAAGTTACAGTATATCTTCTCTGAGTTAGAGCACTTTGATAACATTTCATTTTATGAGTAGATTTTATTCCATGAATAACTTCACTTTTATGAGGCATTTAGCACTAGGACATAATAAACAAATGTTTGTGAGTCTTTTTCAACTGTAAATATAAACAATAATAAATGGTTCTTACAACAATCTGTCAAGTGTGCAACAGTAAATGTTGATCATTTCTTAATGAACAGATTCTCTTTTGCAGCTGTTTTCCGGAAGCAGTCAACGGTCTATTGGAGAGGTATGGGGATCCCAGGCTGAGCTGATTGAATGGTTGAATGTCAAGTAATGAGAATTTGAACACTGTGCTTATATAAAGTAGATGTACTGGGAGAGTAGAGGATGTGATTTTGTATTTTATACTCCCAGATCTTTCTATTCAACTGTAAGAATGAAGCAATGCAGTTTGGCTCTGTGGTAAAGGTTTTGCATACTGAAACTTATGGAAATTGAGTGAAACGTGAAAAGTGTACCAGATGTTTGTGGGCTTAACCACAACTCTGGTGTGTGACATGTCCAGACTATTTTTCAGTGATCAACCAGACAACAAATGTAAAAAGTTTTGGATGTTTTTCTCTCAAAGCTGTCGTCTGAAAAAAAGGAAAGTCATTCTACAACATCTAACAGAAAATACTCTGTTGGCTGCCTGGGAAGTCTTTTTGTTTTTTGTGGAAATAGATGAATATTATATAAATGTAAAATAGCCTCAGCCTTAGCCTTAGCAAGTTGGAAACTTTCATGATTCCCATATTTTCCATTATTCCACGTTTGACTGGCTTTACAGTCAGTTATCCTTTGGAAGCAGGAATTTAAAAACAAGTTTGGAACCAAATTAAAACTTTGATTTACATTTATTATCAATGTTTCCATGTCCAGTACATTTGTGGTCTGTGTGTTTTGTGTACACCTCACAGAATTTGCACAAACAATACAAACCAACTGTTTGAATCAGCCATGTGCATAATGTAATACTTTTTTTTCTTCAAGCTTCATGGTTTTGTTATTTCAGCCCAAATAAGGCTTTTACAGTTGATTAGTGCAAGTTTTAAGGCTTCAAAGTGCAACAACAGGACAAAACCGTAAAACCTTTCAACAGCACAGTCCATGTCAATAACACCAGCTAATCAGCAACACCATGTTGACAGATGTGTGTTTACCTCTAAGATCAGCTACATCTTGGTGTGAGTGATTGTATTTACAGATTTCAAAGAATAAGAGATGGCAGAAACATTGGTGGTTAAGTGTTACCACCTAGTGGTTGACTTAGAACCACTATACACAGCTGGCTGACAGATTTAATCAGGAGTACTGTGATGAAATGCCAATTAAACAATTTTATTGAATGTTTTCAGTTGCCAATCTTCCTCGACATGTTTCAATTTAGCCACAGGATCTTGTTCATTTGCCAATTTAAATTTTTAGAGGCACCCACTCCTCACCAAATTATTTCTTTCTTACATGCTCCCCCCACCAATTGCTCCCCAATTAAAAAAATTACACAATTTTTAACTGCTGTGTGGAAGAAGGTTTTTATTCACATATAACTAAAGGCTCTAAGGATGTCTAAAGAAGAAAAAGTATATACATTATAGTAGTAACTGCCTTATGGTCAAACAAGGGAGCAGCATTGATATCGACCCTCCTTCCAATCTGTAACGTGAACGCACCATGGAACGAACCCTGTACTGTTTTCAACGGGACAGATACGTCAGCCTCTACTGATTGGTTAGGGCAAAATGACCCCCCCCCTCTCCTAAATCTTATTGGATGTTGTGAGAAATGTCCCGCCTCTTTCTGAATTCCACAGCAGGACTCTCTTCCCATTGGTCCATCGGGCCAGAGTGCAGAGAACAACAAACAAGATAGGGTGAAGACCGTCGGGATGGATGCAGGTAAGCGAGATATTATAGTAAAATAGCTAATTTTCTCTACCTTAGCAAGCCAGTCTGGCCACAAAATAACCACAGCAACGCCATTTCATCCCTGGCAACAAATCTCCTGCTCTGTCATGACGGGATTGCCAACTCCAGCCAGCAGTCCAACACAGACCCACACTGCTTTGTAGCCTCGGTGACGTTAGCCTGCTAAAGTGATGACTAAAGCTAACTGCTAACTATCGTTAGCCTGCTGTTATTGCTAAATGTGGTGGATTCCCCGCTTTGACAGCTCGCTGCTCAGCCGTATAACTTCCTGTACGGTGTCCAGATGTGGAATGTGATAATGTCATGTGTTGCCGTGAAGTTCCACTCTTAATAATTTGCCTTTTGTCCTTGGGCTGACTGTTTATGCCAACGTTATGTTACGCCCAAGATGAACATCCCAGTCGATGCACTGTCACCATCATATCAGTTATTATGCTACTGTTAGCACCGAGAATGCTGTTAGCTATTAGAGAGGTTATATGGCATGCAGCTGATGTTAACTCATGTAGTAGAATAATAGGAAGAGACTTCTTATTGCATTATTGTCTCCCTGTAAATCACAGCTAACTAACTGACAGGCAGTGAGCTAACGTTAGCTACTCAACTTTTTTTCTGTTAGTGATGTGGTAACATGACGTGTTGGCGTAAACAGCAGAAACCTTTTCTAAACTTTCTATCAAAAGCGTACATAGATTTTCCAGAGTATAAAAGCATACACCAATCGGCCAAAATGCGATTTTGATTCTTTCTTAAGAGGAAGTGGGTCCTTTTAATGGTGTCCATTACAGTTTTGCCTCATTTTATACCTGGCTTTGAGCCCAGTATTTCCAACTGCAGTGCAAAGTCTGCAAACGCAGACTGTTACTGGGATTGCTTTTTATTAAAGGCCCACACATGCCTACGTACTTATTCATTAACAACTAATGGCACATGGGAGACATTTGAGGAGACATTTCAGTGTGATATTTCTATGATTTTGTCTGCTTGTCATATGTGTGTCTGTCTCCTCTGTTATTAAAGTGCCTCTTTATAATCCTTAAATAATCACTGATTTTACATATTAGGTTTAGTTTACTCGCCATGAAGAATGTGACCCAGCCTGTGAAAACAGTTGTAAAATGTCATCTGTGCTCTGGAGGATAGATTATAATGCTGATCATATCATAATGATGTCGGCCTGGGCTTTTTATGATTAATAGTTTATTCACAGTAGACAGGTATTACAACCACAAATGCCAATATCAATATGACATGGAACAAAAGTTAAGCGGGGATAAGTGGGGTGCCCTTGTAGCTCACCTGGTAGAGCAGGCACCCCAAATACCAAGGCTGAGTCCTTGCTGCAGGGGCCGACCTGCGGCTCTTTGCTGCATCCCCTCTCTCTCTCTTTCCTGTCACTCTTCACTGTCAATTAAAGGCAATAAAACCCCAAAATATATATATAAATAAAATAAATGTTCATAAACACATCCACGACCACCCAAAAAATAATAATATACAAATCAGAATAAATCTTGAAACTTGATACTATGTTTATCCCACAGGAAGATTCCTCATTCACTTGTCCCCTGGCATATAAGATCAAATATTAAAATGCTGGATACATTTTAAAGCTAAGCATATATAGAACCTTCCAGGAAGAGACTGGAATTCTTCTCAAGCAACTAAGTGATACTCCATCTTTACTTGCTGACAGATTGCCTCACTTTTATTTGCTGCAACAAGTGGTTAGTGGTCAACAACAACAATTTCTCCACTGTAATTTCCCACATACTTACAGCTGACTCTGGTCCTGTTTTTGCAGCTACCTTGACATACGACACACTTCGCTTTGGAGAGTTTGAAGATTTTCCTGAGACCTCAGAGCCTGTGTGGATCTTGGGGAAAGAATACAATGCACTCACAGGTAGGACTGTGAAATATAAAGCGTATGTGAGACAGAGAGTATTTAAGTTCTAAAGAATCATTAGCAAGTATACATTTTTCTCTGTGGATGTATTGTAACGTGATGATTTCTTGCTGTCTTGTAGAGAAAGATGAAATTTTATCAGATGTCACTTCACGACTGTGGTTCACATACAGAAAAAACTTCCCACCAATTGGTAAGTAAAGAAATGCCCCTTAACTACATTTGATGAGATTGTTGATTTGAGAAATCTGTGTTTTCACATCTAATTACAAAAGAGAATCTCATGATTCTTGAATGTGTTACAGGTGGAACAGGGCCAACGTCAGATACAGGATGGGGATGCATGTTGCGGTGCGGCCAGATGATCCTAGGCGAGGCCTTGATGTGTAGACATTTAGGCAGAGGTAAGAAAATATAAACATAAAGAAATATCTCCCTCGATGATAGATAGATACAGATATACGTATATATTTTATCACTGTGTGGCACTAGCAGCTCTTCTCCAGTGAGTAGACTATACCAAACAGAGCGTGTTTTAAACAGGCGTGATAAGTGGCTTTTTGTTCTCAGACTGGAGATGGGCCAGAGGCCAGAAACAAAGAGAAGAGTACATCAGTATTCTCAACGCCTTCATTGACAAAAAAGACAGCTATTATTCCATCCATCAAATTGGTAAGTAGTGAGTGTAAAACCTTTCTAATTATATGAAGGACTTACTCAGGCAATCGTGAAGGAGTTTCCATAAAGTTGTTTCTTTTTTTGTTCCTAAATGCTGCAGCCCAAATGGGAGTTGGAGAGGGAAAGCCTATAGGCCAGTGGTATGGACCAAACACAGTTGCCCAGGTTTTAAAGTAAGTACTGGAAAGAAGCAACATGTTTCAGTTGTTTCCTGATTTTATATTTTAGGCCTGCAACTATGAAATTTCTTTACAAATATTTGAAAATGCCTGCCGCAAGTTCTCAAAGCCCAAGGTGAAATCTTTAAATTGCTTGTTTTGTCCAAGTTAAAGTCCAGAACCCGAAGATATTCAACTTACATGGATATAAAACTGACAAATAAAGCAAAGCTTGAACATAAAGTGTCTATCCTTGAGGGCCAACAAATGTGTTGAATACATTTACTTCCTCTCAAAACATTTGAAAAGCTTACTTTTTTGATATTTCAAATTGTGAAATATTTACATCAATGCTTGCAGTTTCCACAGCCTTCACGGGCACATTGCTACATTTCTTATCGCATTAGCATTGTCAACGGTCAATCAGCATAATAGTGTGAAAGCGGCTGCAGGAATGTGTATCGTGTCACGCTTGCAAG